CTGGTGTTTCTAAAATGCCAATAGTTTTAGCACCTTAAAATCTCACCGGAGTAATGCATTGCTCAAAAACAAACAGGTCATACTAATAGGAAGGAAAAAGGAGAGAAAGTGCAGAGTTGCTACCTGAGGGTCACGGAGTTCTGTTGAGGAGATAAAAAAGTTCTAGAATGGGGGGAGGCGGCAGTGTGTATCTTAAAAAATTTACTTTGATGATAAATTTTGAGCCATACACACTGTAAGAAAAACCCAGGGACAGAAAGATGGCCAACAAGATGACCCAGCCTGAGAACCTAAATTTAATCCCTAGAACCCACACTCACAGTACCCCCTCTCACACATGCAACAATTAGGGAGGGAGGAAAGGGAGGAGGGAGGGAGGGAGGGAGGGAAGAACAGACAGACGGACCGACCAACCAGGTCTATCAATCACCAGAACATGATCACTTTCCATAGGTGAAAGGAACAAAACATGACTGTGCTTTATTTGGGGGACTAGATTATAGGGAGTCTTGGCTCTCTCTACTTGGCTCTTCAGTATGCTGTCACAACCTCCCATAACTGCAGATTACAGTCATCTGAGTAACAGGACTTCTTTAACTGTCCCAATTCAAAGTGCTTGTGCTTCCCGGTACTAGGCTAACACCACCTTCCTGAGTTACCAAAAGCCTGTACCACTTGGAAGTAGGACGTGCAAAGAAGACACTTCTTTCACACTTGCAGCCTCTGCACTCCAATCTATGTTCAAAGGGTAACAAACATTCCACTGTTTTCATTAAAACTGGAAGTGTAAAACCTCTCACCTATCTTTTACCACTGCCGCATCCCTCTTGGAGACATGCAGGGAGGCAATGAGTGAAACCTCTCCTTTCCTAACCCTTCATAAAAGGTTATCTGCAAGAGATTTCAAGGTGCCTAGCAGAGACAAATAGCTGTTAATAAAAGATAAGGCAAAGTCAGGCTTTGTTTTCTACAGTTCAATAAAAGTAAAAGCAGAGAGTATTTTTATCTCGTTCTAGCCTAAAAGGGTTGGGTCAAAGTATCTTCTCTGTCTGGCTTTCTATGCATTGATTAAAATAGACCAAGGTTATAAAAGAAAGTAAACCAGTTCCTGACCACAGAGTCCCCACATAAACAAGCAGAACACTGCCAGTGGCAGGTCAAGAGCAGCCCCAAATTCTTTCTCATTGCCATGCTTCAATTCTCTTTGACTCTTTGACATACACAGACATACCAGACTTTGTGAGCTGGCAGTGTAGCTCAGTGGTAAGGCTTAACATACATGAGACACAGGATTCAATCTCCAATGTGAGTGGGCAGGAGCATACACACACATACACACAATGCACAGAAATTTTTAAATGGAAATATGAATTTATTTCTGCTCAAGTTTTATCTTTTTCTTCTTTTAAAAAAGTTCTATGTATAATTATCATATGTGTGCATGTGGGTATGTGAGTGCATATGTTACAGTGTGTGTGTAGAAGTCAGAAAACAACTTTGTGAGGTGGGTTCTCTCATTCCACCTTTGTATGGGTTCCAAGAAGCAAACTCAGGTTGCCAGGCTTCTGTGCCAAATGCCTTTATCTACTGAGCCATCTTGCCAACAACCTTTCTTAAACTTTACTTTTAAATCAGGAATCTGATGAAAGCAAAACAAAATACTATTTGTGCTGTGTGTTTGAGAGCAGTTTGATGTTCATCATATTTTATGCCGGTGTGGTAAAGCTCCATTTAGAAAAACTGCTATAAAAATTAATTGCCCTGGGAGAGGGAGATACAAGGATTAGAAGTTCAAGGTCTTCTTTAGCTACACAGAGTTTGAGGACAGAGGCTATATGAGACACTGTTTCAAAAGAATGAAATACGTTGACCTTCAGAAAAGTCATTCTAACATCATTAATTGAAATAATGTTGGAGGCCAATGTTGGATGTTTATAAACAGGGTAACTTGAAAAATGACAACACTCAAGGTCCAGTGTGATAAATCAGACCTGTAAGAGCAAGGTCAATGCTAAAAGGAAGACATGTCAGTAGCAACAGTCCCCACTGCAGATGTCTAGGAAAACATGGCTGTGTTGGACCAAGAAGACACAATAGCACAGAATAAGAAAACCACAGTGTTTTCTCTTCAAAGGTAAGAAAAATAGACCATAAGTCAATTTTTAAGGGAATCCTAGGAGGATTCCTGACCTTATACCCTTGTCCACTGTTTCGATATGTATTTAGGTTTTAGTGCCTCAAAAAGAACAACTCTAAAAGGACAGATGTTCTCTTGTTAAATGAGGCCTTATGTATTTACTGCTGAGCTTTTCCTTTCTGCTTTTGTTGGGAATTGTTTCACACTGTAGCTTTGACAGGCCGAGAACTTACTAAGCAGCCCAGATCTAGCCTCATACTCAGTCTCCTGAGTACTGGATCACAGGTATGTATCACAACTAGCTCTGTCAGGCTTTTCTAAATCAAAAGGCTGCACTGAATTTGCAATACATTCTTGCAAAAAAGCTCTTGAACAGGTTGTTCTGCACTATTCTGTCTGGCTCATGTGTGACTCAGAAACTAGATGGCTGTCTCCACCTGACCCAGTCTGTACCATCACACCTGACTTTGTAAGGAATTATAGAACTGCTGCTTCAAATATCTGCAGAAACTAAACATTTCCTGTTTGAAAACTACCATAGAACAGTGAATGTAATATCATGTATATAAAAATGTAACTAATGATCAAAACATAAACCACATTTATTGTCACCAGGGGCACCAGAATTACAAAGATAAACACTGCTCTAAAATACATAAATGATTTTTAACACCACTCCCAACTGTGGGGGACCGAATATCCCTGTTATGGAATATTCTGGGTTCCAGGCCCTGGCCACATAAACAGCGATGGCACCAGGGAACTCTAAGTCGCCATTGTATTGTTTATCAACACCAGGCTGTAACTGTTTACCTGGCCTGAGGGTAATATGCCTCTTATTTGCATCTATATGTGCCTAAGCATCTGAATAGGCCCTTACCTGGGAGGAGGTGCTGGTGGTATGGGAGTTAGGGCAGAAGGTTAGGAGCAAAGCAGGGGAGCGGGGAGAGAGAGAACAAGAGAGAAATGGCTGCCTTGTAGTGTTAGCAGGATGTTAAGGGACACCAGAAAAGATGGCTAATAAACAAATAGCTCTTTTCCCAAACCATGGAACTGAGAGCTCTCTAAAGATGACAAGATGCCTGTGTTTGGTCTTTATCTTCTTTCCTCTCCAAGAAGCTTCCAGGTTCACACACCCCCACTCAGGTAGAACCTCATGGCTGTCGTGGGTTAAAGCTGAGACAAGCCGGACCACGACACCCCACCCCTCCATCCCCCCTCATATTGAACTGGACAGACACCAAAGACTCAGACACCACAACTCATTTTCTGTGCAAAAAATATAACTTAATTTCCAGTATACATCATACTATTATTTAGCCCACTTTTGAAAAAGGCCATCAACTTCATACACATTTCCTCTGAACTTTCAAATAAAATAACAAAAATAGCAGAAAGAAGGACAGGAGAGATCACTTGGTGATTAAAAGCACTGGTTGCTTTTCCAGAGGACCCAGGTTCAGTTCCCAGCAGCTACATGGCAGCTCACAACTATCTGCAACTTCAGTTGCAGGGCATCTAACTGCTTCTCCTGGTCTCTATAGGTATCAAGTACACACATGGTGCACAAACATACATGCAGGCGGAACACTCTCACATAAAATCAATAATAATAGAAGAAAAAAGAGAGTGAGAAAAGAATAAGATAAAGGAAGCCACAGTGTAATGAAATTCACTAGCTCAGAGGATAGATACCAGTTCAGATCCTGTAGGATTCTAGATATTGGAAACAGCAGCTGTCTCTACAGCACACTAAGCACAGAACTGTGAACTATCATTTATATAGATACCCTAAGGAAATAGTGTCCTACCTGGGAAAGCCACAATACAATTGTAATGCACTGCATATAATGTAAGGAAATGATGTAACCACTAACACTGAAAAAGCTATTTCTTACAATGATGGATGTGAGCTGCCTCGTTCTGTCTGGCTCACACAGAATCTGCTATCGACTCTTAAGAGAGCTGAGGCCAAGACAAAGGCTGTAGCATACAGCCAGACTTGGCTGCCTAAACATCATATCATAACTTTAGTCACAACCTTGCCAAGCAAGCACAAACCACACTCTGAAATAACAATCTTTGAGGTTCTTGAAAAATGCTCTGAACTTAAGACTTCTTCAGAAACTGCATGACTCCTTAATGACAAGCAGAACGTAGGCACAAGCTTTTCCTTTACTAGATGAGATCAACAGTAGAACATTTGCCAAGCATACATGAGACTATGGGTTCAATACCCAGAGCCACAAAATGAAAAAGAGATAAGCAGAGAGCCAATGAGCATGCAATGACAATCAAGACGTCATAAATTAGTATACCCACTTATCAGACTTTTTCTTAGAAATAGCATGTACTCCATTAATAAGGCAAACACAAATAAATAATATGTCACATATGAAGTTCACTAGGGGGTGAGTTTAGCTACAAACACAAGCATCCCTTGAAGGTCATTTAAATGCCAAAACTACCATTTTTTTATTTTTTTGGAAGAAATACACTGCCATTAACAATGTTTCCTTTAGTTTTTTTGTTTTTGAGACAGGGTTTCTCTGCATAGCCCTGGATGTCCTGGAACTTGCTCAGTAGACAAGGCTGGCCTCAAACTCAGAGATCCACCTGCCCCTGCCCCTGCCTCCCATGTGCTGGGATTAAAGGTGTGCCATGCCCAGCCTCTTTAGTTTCTTTTTTAAGCCAGTATATTTAAGAAATTATTTTCCAAAAGGTCAATTTCTACTTTCAAAAAACATCTGAGATACTAAAGATGAGAAATATTTAATATAAATGTACCCTAGTCCTCTGTCTCCCAGGGTATGGGGCTTGTTTACAGTGTGAGAACCAGGGTTGTAAACATCTGATTACTTACTTGTTAAAAAAGGGTTCAATGAGTTTTGATCTGGCAGACACACACACTTTTGGAGGTCCGAGTAAAGAACCTAGTGAAGAAAAGCAGGACATTATACACATCACTGTGATCTAAGCACAGGAGCTCAGACACAAGTGTGTTCATTCATCGAGGGTAAAAGTTACTCTTCTGGTCCACACACCTATATGGCAAGTGTCAGCAGTCCCTTCCTGTGTGTCACCTCCTCATCTCCTCCAGCTCCCATCTCAAAACCCTCCTGCTTCAATAAGGGATCCTAGGACAGTGCTTTTGATGCACAGACTATGCGTCGTTTCTTCCCCACTCCCACATGGAAGCCAAACCCCAAGCAAAGGTATCCACAAAGGAGCTATTTGGGAGGCAAGCAGGAGACCTGGTTCCTTCACAAGAAGCATGGGTGCTTCCTCTCTCTAGCACTCTACTATGTGAGGACATGTGAGTGACAACTGTCTGAAAGCTGGGGTCCAGGGAGGGGTCCTCGATCTGGGCTTCCTACTCTCCAGAACTCTGAGAAACATGGGTCTGTTATCTAAGCATGGTCTTTGGAAATTTGTCACACCAGGCTGAGCTAACAGACAACAAGTGAGACCCACTCTGTTAAACGAAACATATTTCAAATACCTAGGTAATTTGCCATGGAGATGAAGCAGAGTCCTGTGATGTAAGCATCATACCCTGCCTCATGCAGCTGCTCAGAAGCTGTGTCATAGCTTGGAAAGCCTTCTGCACTTTCTAAAGAGAAAAGAAAAAAAAAGCATTACCAAACATGAAAACTAGTAAACATGGTGTCCTGCCAAATCCAAACTGCACTCTTTTGTGTTACAGATGCAGATGTGGCCTGAAGACACAAAGAAACTATCTTATTTCTCAGTTCTGTCCACACAAGACCTTACAATATGAGATAACAAAGTCCCTGAAAATGAGAACTTCAGTTTAGACAAGAGAAAGGCCTCAGTTGCCTTACCAAGGTTCAGCTGTCTATAGGACTCCTCAGCCATACTGGCTGGAGACATTTACAATCTTGTGTTTCCCATCCTGTGAAATTCCTACTGTGGGGCTCTTACCATACATGTAGGACACAGCACACTAAGCAGAACTCCAAGCTAGGCGTGGCAGTCACACCTACAATCTCTGCACTTGAGAAGCTGAGGCAGAAGAACCACAGCAAGTTGAGGCTAGTCTAGGCTAAATAGTGAGTTCTAGCTCAACCTTGGCTACAAAGTAAGACTCTGTCTTTAAAAATAAATAAATAAATAAACAATAAACTAATAAAAACCCAGGAGGACTTTGAGGTCATTCAGAGTGTCCATCTGAATCTCTACTCCATCGCTCATGCATGATGTGACCCTGGGCAAGGCACTTTACCTCTAAGCCCCCAGTTTTATAAAAAGGAGATGATAACCTTCCCTCATAACGTTTTTTGGGGACATCATATGGCATGGTATTGTTAAAGGTTTTATCGAGTGCTTGGCACATGTCATATGTTCATACCCATTAGTATCCCAAGTAGTCCTCATAAAATGAAAGAGTCCAACTGAATACTGGCAGGACCCTTGACTGTTCCCAAGCTCAGCAATTTAAAGACAACAGGATACTCTACCCCCAGAATAGATGAGAACGTGATGTAACACTGCCCTACAAAAACCATTTTATAAGATAATGCTTAGTCGTGCTGATACACACAGGTGCTAAGAGACTGTGAAACAGTCATCTGCTTTTGAGTAAATTCTCTACCAGAGAAATATGAAAATAATAGGATAAGATACCGTTCTTACTCATAAGAAATTATTTCCTGGAATCAACCTGAAAATGAATTTTAAAAGGTCACTGTTTCATCAGAAGCATGAGCAAAACTGCTGAATGGAATGGCTGAAGCCGTTTTCATACCAATACAATGCTCTCTATGAAAGAACTTTTTAACTTCCTTTTGAACTAAATGTTGGACTTGACACTTCCTAAGAAAGCCTTTTAACACTATAGCACTAAAGTAAAATCCTCAATACCACCTGCTGAAGCTCATACTCGCCAAATCTGTTTATGCACAGGGCATGGCTTTCCTTCCCTCTATCTGCCCTACATCTTCGTACTTCTTTCATGGACTATGACCCAGAAGGGAAGCAAGTACCTATGACTCTGCCCACCCTAATATCTCCCATCACCAATTTCTGAATCATTAGTGCTATTATCAGTGGCTTTAGCGGTTTTTTAACTACTTGTCAGCAGCACAATGAGGATGGCAGGATCAAGGACACAGTGCCCCAAAACACACGCGGTAGAGGCCACACATATCCACACGACCCATCTGATAACCAAGAGTTCCTCCTGACTTCTGGCTTTCCTCAATGATACTGTTTCTCTGGTTCAAACTAGCTCTGAGGACAAAGAGGTGTACTCTCATCTCAGCAGTAACCCAGCTCTTGGGTTTTCTGCGACAGGAGATGTTTTTGACCGGCTCTGTTTTGCTAAAACAATGAACCGTATGAAAAGACACATCAAGTTTTGAGAAAACTCCAAGCATTAGGAATTAAAAGCCTTGAAACTTCTCAGTGAATCCCCACCCAACTCTACTAACTTGATACAAATGTAGCTAGACATGGAATTAGGAGACCATCTTTATTCAGGGAACAGCCATTCAGCACAGGCATGGATCTTCCTAACCCAGGCAAAGTCTACAAGTAACACAATATGGTTTCAGAGACGTTCACATTTTTGATAGAACTTATCGGTAATTTCCAAAGTTTGAAGGTTTCCAGAGTTAATATTCTTACCAACTTTAGGAGGGTCAAACGGTGTCTCTTTTAACCGCTTTTCCAACTCTGCAAGGGATGTGTTGTTAATGATATCCTGCAAGGCAGGAGGTGGAGAATTAGGACATTTCATCTCGGAGCAAGAGATTAAGGACAGCCACTTCAGAGTACACAGAAACAAAAAAGCATCCTATACTGCCCTCTTGTGACCTTAAAAGGAACAGAAGCCATTGTTTATTCTACATGAAAGTAAAGCGCACCAGCAAGATCAAGGTTCACTGTACTGACAGGAATAATGACACCATGTTAAAACCTACCGATGTAGGCAGGCATAGTGGTGCTCACCTGTAACCAGCTACTTGGGAAGCTGAGGCAACAGGAGGAAGAGTGGAAGGCCAACCTGGTTACTAAAGCAAAACCAGGGGGAAAAAAAAGTGGAAGGGGGCAAAAAAACAAGCTTCCAGGTTTGCTGGGGGTGTGGAGGGATAACACAACTTTGGCAGGAACTGTCCTAGTGCACTTCTCAAAGGTTCAGAAAGTTCCTAATTTCTAGGACTGCTGGCAGGGACACAGCACCGGAAGGCACACTGTCTCACCATACTGCTCCAAAGGGTGCAGAAAGCCCCTCACAAGCATGTAAATCATCATCATTAACTTAGATTACCTGTATTAGGAAATATGTCCAAATAGGTCAAATAAGGAGGCAGGTAGAGAAAAGACAAAAAACGTAAAATACAGGTCGGGTGTAATGGTGCACCACTTTAATCCCAGCACTCAGGAGGCAGAGCAGAAGGATCTCTATGAGTTCAAGGCCAGTCTGGGCTACAAAGCAAGTTCCAGAACAGCCAGGGCTACACAGAGAAACCCTTTCTCAAAAAAAAAAAAAAAAAACAACAACAACAACAAAAAAAAACAAAACATACATACATGCATATAAAAAAATTATAGCTAGTGTGGTGGTACACACTTGTCATCCCAGCCCTGGAGAAGCTGACAGAGGGAAGACTAGCTTTAGCTAAAAAGTAAGCCTGTACCTAAAGAAATAAAAATAAATTTTAAAAAAATATGTATTTTAACATTTAAAAACTTACATTCAAAAACAGAGAAAAATGAAGATAACTTCACATTTCGATATATTTATTTCTGAATTTTTCCGATTTCTCTCTTCTTCCTTTCTTATGTTTTTTAAAAAGATTTGCTTATTTATGATGTATACAGTGTTCTGTCTGCATGTAGGCCAGAAAAGGGCACCAGACCTTATTAAAGATAGTTGTGAGCCATCATATAGTTGCTGGGAATTGAACTCAGGACCTCTGGAAGAGCAGGCAGTGCTCTTAAACTCTGAGCCCTCTCTCCAGCCCCCTTTCTTATTTTTTAATGTGTTTGAAATAACATTTAAATAGAACAGAATTCCAAATTTATTAGTGTTAATGCAAAAAAGTTTCACATAGAGTATGGTGGCACATGGGAGGCAGAGGTAAGGAGGATCAGGAATTCAATTACTACTTTGAGCTACAGGGTGAGTTAAAGGCAAGCCCAGGCATACCAAGACTGTGCTCAAACAAATACAATATCTTATGCATGGCAGTTCAGATCTAAATAATACCTTAAAAGGCTGTGTGCTGGCCATTAACTTAGTATCCAAGAGTCTGTAAACAAAATAAATTTTAATAAGATAAATACAATCTATCAATATTTAAAATGTACTTTGTTAAAATACAAAAATACTTATGTTTCATAAAGAAAAGACATAGATAACATACACTTCATATATGGTATACTTAAAAAACACTTAGTTCATAAATCTTAGACGTGGACAGATGAAGCATACATTGGGCAGTGTGACCCTAGTGGCAATGTGGTTGATGAGCCTAAGCACACAGTCCCATGTGCTGGCCTCACTCATCAGACAGCTGTGGGTATGGCCATATACTTGCCAAAGGAACAGGCTCTATGCCTGTACCTGGAAGAATGAGGATAGCATCCATCTTGAACGTGAGGTAACACTGCATGTTTTCTCTTCTACAGGGTCTGCCCTCCCAAAACGGCCACCACCCACTGCTACCACCTGGTTTATACAATCTGAACTCTTATGGGGACAAAATCTGCACCGGGAAGTTTCTTGCTAGTACTGTGCCAGCTAAGTTCCACTGTTAAATTGACTGGGTTTGGAATCATCTCAAAGCCTTTGAGGAAGTTTACACACACACACACACACACACACACACACACACACACACACACACACTCATTGACTCCATGAGCCCACCATCCCTTCCCATTAGGACAGACTGTACCCTCATCAAACTGTGAGCCATACTAAACTTTATCTCCCATGAGCTTGATCTTCTTAGGTATGTAATCACAGAAATGACAAAAAGTAGAACATTTAACTACTTTATTATTGCAGGGACCAGAAATACTAAAGAAGGCATTAACCACGTAAAAATTCTCTCTATCTAAATCTAGTTCCAAATAAACATAAACACTGTGGCTAGGACAGCAATAGCCCAGATGAAAGTATGACTAGTTGGCTACCCTCACTTGCCCTTCTTAAAAAGATCTAAAAATGTCTTACCATATAGGCTCCATGCATCTGACATGTGGTTGATCACACACGTGACATATGGCATAGTCAAATTAGCATGCAATGCAATGCTGACTATGGAAAACACTAATAATACTGGCACCAATGAAGTTACAGGGAGTGAAAGTGTCTCTAGCCATACAATTCTTAACCAAGAAGACAGTACTCTTAGTTGGGACACATCAACAATTAAAAAGGTACATCCCACATGTGTGAATGGCCAGACCTGTGCTAGGACCCTTCACCAGTCCTTCAGATAGCAGGATGCAGGACAGGAAAAAGTAGCATTAGCTACTTTCCACTTTCACTCTAAGTTAGAATCTGCTCTTTAATGGATGATCACACTATTCATACATTTAAACAGTCAACTATGGCAAAGTTGACAATGTCCAATCCGTTAAATACCTTCCCAGCTTGTAGAACTGCCTACTTTTGTTGCATATACCTCGGTGAGTATCTCAAATATCAGGGTGCTCTTGAAGGCAGCTTACCTGGGGAAGACACATATTGTCATTTCCTTAAACTCATTCAGGTCCTAAAAAGCAAAAGGATGACCTGTTACTGTCTTTCTAGAAGACCAGAGTATTGTTAAACACACCTATGGGCAGCTCCAGCTCTCACTATTTTCTCAAATATTAACTGTCATGCCTCACATGGGCCTCAAGCTAAAGAGCAAATCTACTTCTAATTAAGAATTATTTCTTGGGTGTTGGTGGCGCACGCCTTTAATCCCAGCACTCGGGAGGCAGAGGCAGGCGGATCTCTGTGAGTTCAAGGCCAGCCTGGTCTCCAGAGAGAGTGCAGGATAGGCTCCAAAGCTACACAGAGAAACCCTGTCTCAAAAAACCAAAAAAAAAAAAAAAAAAAAAAAGAATTATTTCTTAGGAGCTGGAGAGATGACTCAGAGGTGAAGAGCACTTGTTCTTGCAGCAGAGGACCCAGACTAGGTCCTCTAACAAACACAGTGGCTTACAAACACCCATAACTCTATTTCAGGAGATTTAATGCCCTACTCTGACCTCCTCAGGCACTAGGCACACGAGTGGAACACACACATATATGAAGGCAAGACATTCATACACATAAAATAAAATAAATAGCCGGGCGTTGGTGGCGCACACCTTTGATACCAGCACTTGGGAGGCAAAGGCAGGCGGATCTCTGTGAGTTCAAGGCCAGCCTGGTCTCCAGAGCGAGTGCCAGGATAGGCTCCAAAGCTACACAGAGAAACCCTGTCTCAAAAAACCAAAAAAAAAGAAAAATTGAAATAAATAAACCTTAAAACAAACGCATTATTTTTTTAAATAAAACCTGAGCCAGGCTTGGCACCTGCTGTCAAAACTGACAATCTAAGTTCAATGCCAGGGCTTACACAATAGAAGTCTGACTTTTCTAAGTTGTCCTCTGACTGCCACATATGCAAAGACATACACAAAATTTTAATTAAGAAAAAATAGGACAGTAAGATGGCTTGGCAGGTTATAGGTACCAGATGCCAAGATTGACAACCAGAATTTGATCAAAGGCCCATATAGTAGAGAAGGGAACCAACTCCCACAGTTGTGTCTGACCTCCATAGGCACACCTCAGCAACACACATATATACACAAGAGAATAAACAAAATTAGAATTTTAATGTGCTAAAAAATAAATAAATAATGAATTTAGGAATATCTTCCATTTCTCACTGGGAATTATGATACGTAGAAAAGTAATTTCGTAGCCTAAAGACTCTATAGCTGAACTAACGAGAGAGTGGTTCTGTCACATATAAAATACTGCTGACTAGAGAGATTGTTGTACCCAAGGGCACAGACTTATCCTAATAGTGACACTAGCGAGTGTCACTACTGTGACTGATATGGGAATGGTTACACTGTAAAGCAGTTTATATCTCTGAGCCCATCTCTGGTTGTTAGTTAAAATGGCCATAAACACACAGACCTTTCAACATGCATGATTCCTGCTCTAAGTACTAAGGAAATTGTTAACGTGGCACTGACAATATCTAAATTAGACTATTTAATTTCCTTTGATCAGGAATTCTAGAGCAGAAATGAGAGTACTTTAGTTTTGAATTAGTTTCTTTACATCCATAATTGCCATGCTAGCCTGGGTAGTAACACTCCTCTCCCTGTGTAAATCACACTTCTTTTCAAAGTCATTCATGCTTCACAGCAAGCTGCCATTTCCAATTAGCTTCTCAAGCCCATAAACACAGACTGTATTTAGCTTGAAATACACACCAGCTTCTCAATGGCTGTCCTTTTTATCAGTGCACAAAATATGAACAAGGCTAAGTCAAACAAAAAATGCCCTAATGACCATTGTTAATCATTCAACACCACTAAAAAAGTTTTACAAACAAAAGCAAAGTAGAATAATGGCCACCTCCAGGGCCAACACAGAATTCTGAGCCAACACCTACAAGGTCATGTTCAAGCAGCAAAAGGCCCCATAAAAAACTCTCCCCTAAACGCCAAGACATGGACTCTTTATTTTTATCTTGGCATGTGTATGTGTGTGCACGCGTGTGTAATATGTGTATATACAGTGTGAGCACAAGCCTGCCTCGATGCATGTGTGAAAGTTAAAGCAATCTCTGATGTCAGCCTTCTTCCTCCAACACATCTGAGCCAGAGTCTCTTGTTCACTATATGCCAGGCTGTCTCAACCACAAGCTTCCAGGGATTTGCCTTCCTCCACCTCCCATCCTGTGTCAGAGATTCTGGATTACAGATGCGCTACTGTGAATAGCTTTATATTTACATTTTAAAAATATGTTGCCAGGAGCTAGAGGTGGGTCAGCTAAGAAAACTGGCTGCTCTTCCAGAAGGCTGGGGTACAATTCCCAAAACAGACATGGAAGCTCAGAACTGCCTGTAAATCCAGTCCTAGGGGATCCAATGCCCTCTTCTGGATTTTGAGGGTAACAGGCATTCAAGTGCTTGAATGAGAATGACCCTCACAGGTTCATATATTTGAACATTTGGTCCACAGTTAGTGGAACTGTTTGAGAAGGAATAGAAGGTGGACTTGGTGGAGGCGTGTCACTGGGTTTTGAGTTTTCAAAAGTCTATGCCAAGCTCTGTCTCCATCTCTCTGTCTCTGTCTCTCTCTCTCTGCCTGCAGATCAGGATGTAGCTTCTCACCATGATGATCATGAACTCACTGTCTGAAACTGTAAGCAAGCCCCTAATTAAATGCTTTCTTTTCTAAGAGTTGCCTTGGTCATAGTGTCTCTTCAGAGCAATACAACAGAGTCTAAGACACAGGCAAAAAACCTATGCTGGCTGGTCTTCTGTCAACTTGACACACAAGCTAGAGTTATCTCAAAGGAGGGAACCTCAATTGAGAAATGCCTCCATAAGATCCAGCTGTAAGGCATTTTGTTAATTAGTGATTGATGGGGAGGGGCAGCCCATTGCGGGAGGTACTATCCCTGGGCTAGTGTCCTGGGTTCTATAAGAAAGCAGGCTGAGCAAGCCATGGGGAGCAAGTCATAAAGCAGTACCCCCTCACATGACCTCTGTCTGCATCAGCTCCTGCCCTCAAGTTCCCGCTGTGTTTGAGTTCCTGCCCTGACTTCCTTTGATGATGAATAGCAATATGGAAGTGTAAATCAAATAAACCCTTTCCTTTCCAACTTGCTTTTTGGTCATGGTGTTTTGCCAAAGCAATAGAAATTCTAACTAAGACAACACCCACATACAAAAAATAAAATAAATGTTTTTTTCATCTTAAACATGGCTCCAGCAAATATAAATGTTCTATCATCTTCAGTAGATTGTCTCCCATTGCTCTCATCATTTTTTCATAGATGAATAAAAGAATAATTTTCTCTCTCTGATAATGCAGGGGGGGAAGGGTGTGTGTGTGTGTGTGTGTATGTGTGTATGTATCTGTGTGTGTGTGTGTGCGCGCGCGCGTGCGTGCGTGCCTGCCTGCCTGCCTGTGTATGCAAGAGTGTGATCACACCAAGTACCTTGATGAGATAAAATTGCACTGTAATACAAATCACCTGCTTCCTGGTAGAATCTTAATTGGAGTTCAAGTTCACATTTTCTGAGCAGGCACACACAGGGTGAATCCTCAGATTTAATCATCTAGAATTAGTTGTGCCATGTAATGCAGAACAAACCATAGGCAGCATGGAGGCACCAAAACCCTGGAGCGTTGGCCATAGAACTGTCGGATTCTAGCAAGGCAGCAGGCAGAGAAGAACTGCATGGCAGGAAAGCTATACAGTAAAGCAGGCAGAAGTAATCATGCACCCACACCACAGGCCTACCGGGACACAATGTGTTTAGGAAACACATCGGCCCAGCCGGGAACATGGAGCCTCAGAGAGGACTGATTACGTAAACAGATCCAGCTCCATAGAGTCAACTATATGCAGACAAAGAATGTGGGGTTATTTGGGAATTTTGGGCAGGTCAGTATGAAGAGAGCCACACAGCTAGAAGACACTCATCTGTTCAGTCAATATTTGATGCTTTCCATGTGCCTGCCTGTTTGGTATTCAGAATGCCAAGAAGCACAACGTTAAATATGCTCCCTCAGTCTTCTTGATAACATCATCACTTTATAGTGAGGAAAGGAGTTGCTCCAATGATCTCCCTGGCCAGTGAGAAATGAATGACTAAAAACAACCGTTAGCTCTTTAGATAGAAAATTCAAATGTCTGATCATCACTTGTGCTGGAACCCTTGCATCCTACAGGATAATGGTGTTGTCATGGAAGTGGTGGCAACCTTAAGACCAAAGCCCTAGGACAAGGGACCAAAAGACCCACTGTGCAAGTGGTTGAGTACATTGCCCTCTTCCAGAAGATTATCAAGGGACTGATGGGGCAATGTGACATAGGAAACATCAAGAGAGGTTGCAGACATGTAAATGAGACCAAATTCTTATTCAAGAGCCAAAAATTCCAAGAAGCAACTGTAGGGAGACACTCTAGCCCCGCCCCAGGTAACCCGGACAGGTGTGCCAGAACACGCCCATGAGGGCAGGGAGAGGGGAAGTCTAAAGTGACATAGAATAGAAGGGACCACGTGGACGCTCTCTTCTCTCCTTCTGCTGGCCCCGGTCCCAGCTCCCTCCTCCTTGCTTTGGCTTGTGCTTGGCTGATGTATCCGAATAAAGAAAACCTTGCCCTATTGACTGCTGGTCGATCACTAACAAGCAACAAAACAGGAGTCCATCTTCAAGCAATTCAAAGCAGGGGCTAGACCAGGAGATGGGGAGCAGACTGTGATCCTAGCACTTGGGCTTAAGAGTTCAAAACCAGTATGGGCTACATAATAAGGGGCTGGAGAGATAGCTCCTGGTTAAGAATATTTGCTGAAAATTAATCCATATCTATTGCCATGCACAAAACTCAAGTCCAAATGGATCAAAGACCTCAATATAAATTCATCCACATTGAACCTCATAGAAGAGAAAGTGGGAAATGCATTTGAAAGCATAGGCACAGGAGATCACTTCCTAAATAGAATACCCGTAGCACAGACTCTGAGAGCAACAATTAATAAATGGGACCTCCTGAAACTGGGAAGCTTCTGTAACACAAAGAACACAGTCAACAAGACAAAACAGTTCCCTACAGAACGGAAGATCTTCACCAACCCCACATCTAACCAAGGGATGATCTCCAAAATATACAGAGAACTCAAGAAACTAGACATCAAACTACCAAATAATCCAATTTTAAAAATGGGGAATAGAGAATTCTCAACAGAATAATCTCAAATGGCAGAAAGATGCTTAAGGAAAGGCTCAGCATCCTTAGTCATCAGGGAAATGCAAATCAAAACCACTCTGAGATATGTAAGATGAATCTTACACGGATCAGAATAGCTAAGATCAAAACCACCAATGACAGCTTATGCTGGGGAGGTTGTGGAGAAAGGGGAACATTCTTCCATTGGTGGGAGTGCAAACTTGTACAGCCACTGTGGAAATCAGTATGGCCATTTCTCAGAAAATTAGGGATGATCAGCCTAACTCAAGACCCTGTAATACCACTGTTGGGCATATTCACAACACAAGGGCATTTGCTCAACTATGTTCATAGCAACACTATTTGTAATAGCCAAATCTTGGAAACAACCTAGATGCCCCTCAACTGAAGAGCGGATGAAGAAAATGTGGTATATTTACACAATGGAGTACTACTCAGTGGAATGAAACAATGACAATCGAAGTGAGGGAGGAGCGATAATATAAACAAAGGAGTCAAGACCATGACAGAATCAGCTGACCCAAGCTAGTGAGAGATCACTGACTCAGGTCTGATAAATGGGGAACCTGAATAGCACTAAACTAGACTCCCTTAATATAGGCAACAATGGTGTGACTGGGACAATATATGAGGCTACTGGCAGTGGGTCCAAGATCTAACACTAATGCACAAACTGACTTAGTGGAGCCCATTCTATATGGAGACATACCTTGCCCAGCCTAGACACAGGGGTGTGGGAGTGGAGAGGTGCCTTCATCCTGCCTCAACTAGATGATGGGACAGACTTACTAGACTTCCTAAAGGAGGCCTTACCCTCTCCATGGAGCAGATGAGAGGGAGGGGAAAGTGGGGGGAGTGGGTGGAGGAGAAATTGGGATTGGAATGTAAGAAATAAAAATTAATTTTTTAAAAAAAGGAAAAAAAGAACACTTGCTGGTCTTTCAGAGGACAGGTTCCATTCTCAGCATCCACAATGGCTGGCAAATATCTGTACCTCTAGTTTCCGGGGATCCAACAACCTTCACTGGCTTCTGTCACATCGGGCATACATACGTGCAGGTAAAATGCTCAGACACTTTAAAAATTATTTGTTTATTTATATGTCTGTGTGTGGGTGAGTTTATGGGCACTACATTTTTGCAGGTGCTCTTGCAGGTCAGAAGGCATCAGATCCCCTGGAGCTGGAGTTACAAGCAGCTGTGGGCTATCCAGTGTGGGTGTTAGGAACCAAACCTGGGTCCATCGAAAAAGCAAGTACACTTAACCACTGAGACACCTTGACAGCCCTAAAATAAAGTTTTTTAAGTAAATAAAAATAAACCATGGTGTGATGGCTATTCTTGGTTGTCAACTTGACTACATCGGGAATTAACTAAAACCTTGACCACATTCTGTGGGGGTTTTTTTTTTTTTTTCCTTAATTAAGTCATGAAAAGTGAAAAGACTCACTTCTAGTCTGGTTTTTTTTTTTTTTTTTTTTTAAAATTTTAAAAAGGGAAAAAACCCCTTTTTTTTTTTTTTTTTTTTTTTGAGACAGGGTTTCTCTGTGTAGCCCTGGCTGCCCTGGAACTCACAGAGATTTGCCTGCCTCTACCTCCCAAGTGCTGGGATTAAAGGTGTAGACAACCATACCCAGAAAATAAGGCTCTTTGAGGATAAACCTTTAATCCAGTTTTTTTTTTTTTTCTTGGTTTTTTGAGACAGGGTTTCTCTGTGGCTTTGGAGGCTGTCCTGGAACTAGCTCTTGTAGACCAGGCTGGTCTCCAACTCAGAGATCCCCCTGCCTCTAACCTGAGCCATAATTTCTACTGGCAGCCTATATAAAGAACATGGAAGAAGGAAGCTGTGCTCTCTTTACTGGCTACTTTTGCTCTTCCTGGCAAGTTCATTCCTTCACTAGCATTAGAGCCTATTTCTTCAGGATTCCATTGTATATTGAAGACCAGCTGGGACATCCAGCCTCATGTACTGAACTACTGGATTCTTGGACTTTCCATTACTAGACAGAAATTGTTGGACTAGCTGGACCACAACCTGTAAGCCATTCTAATAAATCCCATATATAGAGATAGATAGATAGATAGATAGATAGATAGATAGATAGATAGATATAGATATATTATCAGTTTTGTTTCTCTTGAGACTAATACACACAGATGGCAAACTATGGTCACACAACTCAAATTTGGGCCATCACCTAATTTTTTTCTTAAGTCAGATATTATCCAACATAGCCATCTCAGGGTTATAACAGCAGACTGGAGATGTGTGATAATGACTCAAAAGACCTGGCTCCAAGTATAGAAATACCATCAAAGTCCCTCAGGGTGCTCAGCAGGAGGCAATCATGTGACACCAATTTTTTTCCAGCTCTCCTAAGTTTAGTTTCAGAGCTACCTACAGCCTATCCTCTCTGCAGTAGGAAATGAACAAACACACCAATATCAATGAAGAAAATAAATATTTAACTTTGCTCCAGCAATACTGACAGCTATCAAACTGCTGAAACAGCTCATGTACACAGCCTATCAAAACAGCACAGGCAAGGCTGGAAACTTAGTTCAGCAGCTAAGTTTTGAACTATCTTGCCAGGTCCCTAGAAAATATTTTTAATATGAAATCTGAGGTGCTAGAGAGATGGTTCAATGACTAGCAGCAGGTGCTACTCTTTCTGAAGACCTGGCACACACCTCACAGCTCCGAACCTTGTGTCACTCCGGTCCTAAGGTGCCCTCTTTAGACTTCCTTGGGTGCCAGGATACACATGGCACACATACATGCAGACAAAACACTTATATGCATAAAATAATAAATCTTTACAAAAGAAAAGAAAAGTACAGGAAACCAACTAAGGTCATTCCTGGGGGCATGCAACATATGAGGAAATGAGGAATTGCAACCCAGGCAGAGAACACAGTCATAGTTGAAAGACAGGGATGTGTCAACACTGGGGCCACTTACTGCAGGCAGAGGGCAATAGAACTGGTGAATTGTGTGCATGACATCCAAGAGCATATTGTGTCCAACAACCAGCTTCCTCTGGGAAGACAAAGTTAGGAAAAGCATGTCAAAATTGCATCAGGGCTTACAAGTAGGATGAGACAGTCTCATGACAGAGACAGGTGAGCCTCCTGCTCACTAGGTAACCCGCACAGGCATCAAACTTATTCCCTTCCTGTCTCAGCCCCTCAAAGGCTGAGATTACAGGTATACATACCCACTGTGTCCATTCTTAGTGATTTCTCCATTTTTCTTAGTTTTATTAATCTTGTCATTTAAGAATTTGATGTAATTTTTCATTTTCGGTTTTAGTTTTTTGTTTGTTTGTTTTGTTTTTCGAGACAGGGTTTCTCTATGTAACTTTGGGTCCTGTCCTGGAATTCACTCTGTAGACCAGACTGACCTTGAACTCACGGAGATCTGCCTGCCTCTGCCTCCAGAGTGCTGGGATTAAAGGTATGAGCCATCATTTCCCAGTAGTTTTGTTTTTTAAGACAAATCTTGCCCAGGCTGCCCCTGAACTTCTGGGCTACATCAATTCTCCTGCCTCAGCCTCCCTGAGAGGATGGGGACATAGCACACATGGTGCCTGGCTTGAAGTAGCAAGTTTGGCTGAAGCACTTTTAAACAATAAAACCTGAAATTCTGAGAACTCAGACTTATCAAAAGCTGTGAACAAAACTTCAAATATATTATATTTAAGACTTTTAAAACATCTTTAAAACAGCCTACTTATTTTTAAAGGTATATTTATAGCAATGCTATAAAATGTAAAGTAACTAATTCCTAATTGTATTAAACTCAACAAACTTTCATTTCCTACATTACCTATATTATAGTTCAATGGGTCAGGGCATGTCATTGCTCTTCTTTTTTAAAATGTACTATTATTGGTCTGTGTGTATGCACGCAAGCACACACATGCACATAATTGAGCGGGTACTGCAGGGGGTCAGGGTAGAAATCTGTCCCAGCACCCACATGGCAGCTCACAACCATCTGTAACTCCAGTTCCAGGGGACCCAACACACATGGCAGAACACCAATGCACATAAGATAAAAATAAATAAATTCTAAAAAAGAAGGGTATGAAAAACAGCAGCATCGATCTGTTGAAGACTGGAGTTCCTGCTGATCACCAGGGTTTATCTGTAGGTCAGACAGGTTCCTTGTGGTCTATATTCAAGACTGGCCTTAGAAACCCCTGATCCATCACTCAAGGCTGCCGGTGCAAGGATTGGCTGCTGCGTGGGTGCACATTGTCAGACTTCAAGACAGGCATTGATTGGTGTGGACGTGCCTCCGGGGCATGGCAAGCATCTGTAAAATAGCTGCCTGGTTGGCTGCTGGGCCCTGGTAGAGACCAGGCAGAGGGGACAGTAAGGTGCAAGGCAAAGGCACTTGACTCCTGACAAGAGAATACCCCAGAAAATGGCCACTTCATGAACAAGCCTGTCCAATATTCAAAAATTAGCCCTGGTACTTAGAATCCCAGCAAGTGCAGCAATTGCTTACAAACTTTACCGCCAATAAAGGGAAAGCAGAGAAGAACGAATGGCATTTCTTGGACAAGATGATATTGAGCTAATTAATGATGCGAGTTCACCAGGAGGCTGTGAAGCCGATCATTAGTGGACAAGGAGCATAAATATAAAGGTCTCATGGGGAGGGGACTGCGACCTCTCACCCTCCATTGCTGAGGTTACTGAAGATAAGATTTTTCTTGAAACAGTCCTTCAGTATTTCTTTATGAACTTTAGTTTAATACAAGTAGAAGAAATGAAGAGTCATCTTAGGAAATGTAAAATTTCTTGTAAGAATTTTTAGAAGCATTTCTAAGGAAAGAAAAAAAATGTACTTCTGAAAAAAAAAAAAAAGAAGGGTATTTTGTTTTGTTTGACACAGGGTCTCACCATGTAGTCTTGGCTAGACAACTACATTCTGAACATAAAGCATCAAGCACTACAGTGGAGCTTTGGACAAAGTTCCAATTGTTCTCCATGTGACATGTCAAACTCAGAGCTCAACTTAATTCTTTGGCAAAATTAACCTTATATAAAATATCCCAAATCTAACAAGCTGTACTTTTTTTTTTTTTTTTTTTTTTTTTTTGGATCAGTATCTGTGTGCATTTTGAGTCCCTATGCAATGTTATTAAACGCCAAGCACTATGTGGTAGACACACTAATAAATGAACCTAATTGTGTGGTAAATGAATCCAGGTGAAAATCTGGGAAGAAAAGACTTGGAGAAATAGAAATAAAAATAAATCTTAAAACAAAAAATAAAAATGGTGGTGAATGTCTGTAATCTTTGACACTGGCCAGCCTGGTCTACAGAGTGAGTTCAAGGAGAGCCTGGTCTACAGAGCAAGTTCCAGGACAGCCAGGGCTACACAGAGAAACCCCCTCAAAAAAAAAGAAAAAAGAAATAAGAAATATTTTAATGATGTAACTTTAATTTTTTTCTCACCATTTCCTCTAGGTCCTAGGTCCTAGGAAACATAAGTTTTATTTTGATCCTTTCATTAAGCTGAGTGTTTTGAAGAGCTCTGTTATCTTCCAGTCCCCAGACCTGCCTGAGCACCATAGGTATTCAAAGGTACTATGAATGTCTTCTGTATTTTTTTGGAGTTATATATAGTTAAGCAAATAGAGATGTACATCTCTCCATGTGCGAGGGGAACAATTGCCTCAACCCTGAAAAGCTGAATCATTACACTTCTCGAGCATGCTGGCTAAGTGTGCACACAGTACCAAGTGTAACCAGAAACTGTTTCTCCAGGTACCTGCCATCTTAGCAGCTGCTGAAGAGAATCTCTGATCTCTCCTCCCAGGATCACACAGTTCTGTGTTCAGAACAGTTTAGCTGTCTTCTTCAGTAACAAGTTCCTCATGGCTATTATCTTTTTTTAGAAGGCTCTATCATTTGTGCTATCCCCAAATGAGGACATGGTGTGCCTCCTCTCCACTGCCATATTGACAGACCTGGGTATCGATGGCCAAGCATCTAAGGACAAGACAACTCCTTCTGCCAGATCCAATCACCCAAGGAGAAGAGTCTTAGATCCAGGTGATCCACTGTCCAAGCAAGAGCACAACCTCGCTTACCCATGCAAAAGATGGATGCCTTCACAAAGGACCAAGGAAAGATGTCTACCACAGAATTCTCTAGCATATATACACAAGCAGCCAGCACATTTTTAAAGCTGTACTACTACTAAGATTATGATAGATATATCTCAGGATTTAATAAGAGTTCTGTAGAGGAAATCAACTTGTAATTATTTATCCTCTGGATTCCTCTACTTGTTCCTTGACTTCTGAGTCTCAATGTCAGACTACTGATGTCAGCTTCATGCAACTATACATGGGCATCTTAGGGTAGGGAGAAACTCCACTGCATTTTTGCAACAAAGGCTTTCTGCAAATTGGTTTGGATACAATTCAGCTATGATGACTTCTGACCTGGTACATTGCACAGCAGCAGCTCACCCTATGTTACTAACGTCTTCCCTGAGACTAGGTAAACATTCCAAGGTAACTGTGGTAGTTGGGATGTAATTGGCCCCCATAAGATCATAGGGAGTGACACTGTTAGGAGATGTGGCCTTGTTGAAGGAAGCATGTCATTGTGGGGGCGGGCTCTGAGGTCTCCTATGATCAAGACATGCCCAATCGTCTCAGTTCCCTTCCTGTCTCCTACTGATCAAAATGTAGTTTTTCCTCTACTCTCAGTTCCTTCTCTAGCACAATGTCTGGATACATGCTGCCATGTATTATCATCCCATGATGATAATGGGCTGAAAACCTCTAAACTGTAAGTCTGCCCAACTTAAATGTTCCCCTTTATAAGAGTAATTGTAGTCATGATGTCTCTTCACAGCAACAGAAAGCCTAAGACAGTAACCAAATGAGCAATTTGCAATAGTAGTTAGACACTTCATTTTAAATATTGTGCTTAGCCATTGAACTAGAAACAAAACCAAAATGTGGATGACTTACCGAATTAGCAATGGCATGGATGACTCTTGAAAATCCCACAGCATCATTCAATTCCTCCTAAGTAAAAGAACTAAATTAAAAACAAATAGAACCAACAAGAGAGCTCAGTGGGTAAAGTTTCTTGCCACACAAGCCTCACAACCTGAATATGCCTCTCAGAGCCCTGTAAAGGCTGACAAGAAGAACCAATTCCTCAAAGCTTTCTACTGAGCCCCACATGAATGTCCTTTGACACATGAGCCCATATCACATACACACACACACACAATTTTACAAATAAATTTTCTGGATCTGGAGAAATGGCTCAGGCGTTAAAAGCACATTTTGCTTTTCCAGAGGACCCAAGTTCAGTTCCCAGAAGTCACAATAGGTAGCTCACAAATGTATTTAACTCCAGCTTCAGGGGTTCCCATGCCCTCATCTGGCCTCTGCACAAGTGTGAAGATGTGGCATTCACTCTCAAAGACATACAAAAAACACACACATACAATAAATAAAAATAATAAATGTAAATCTTCACCATGTGATGGTGGTGCACACCTTTAATCCTAGCACTTGGGAGGAAGAGGCAGGCAGGTCTCTATGAATTTGAGGCCAGCCTAGTCTACAAAGCTAGTGCCAGGACAGTTTCACAGAGAAACCCTGTCTTGAAAAACCAAAAATAAATAAATAAGATAAAATGGGGGGGAGAAGGGGGTGTATATCTTTAATCCCAGCACTCTGGAGGCAGGGGCAGGCAGATACTTGTTTTGAAGGCCAACCTAGTCTACAGAGTGAGTTCCAGGACAGGCTCCAAAGGTACAGAGAAACTCTGTATTAAAAAACCAAAAAATAAAAAATAAAAACTAGGGCTGGAGAGATGGCTCAGAGGCTAAGAGCACTGATTGCTCTTCCAGAGGTCCTGAGTTCAATTCCCAGCAACCACATGGTGGCTCACAACCACCCGTTATGAGATCTGGTGCCCTCTTCTGGTGTGCAGATATACATGGAAGCAGAATGTTGTATACATAATAATAAGTAAATAAAATCTTTAAAAAAAAATAAAAACTAACCGCAACAAGTGGCTAAACTGATCCCACAATCGTGAAGCAGAAATAAATAGAAAGAAATCAATCCTATCTATTATCTATCTTCATTTCTTATGCAAAGGAAATAGAAAGCATACTTACCTGCTCCTTTGCATACTTCTCCTGCTCTCTTCTCTTGCGCTCTTCTTCATCCACTTTGCTGATAACTATGTGTCTCTCCTTCTAAAAGACAAAGCAAGTGTGCAGTTTTATGGAAACATCTAGATCCCTCCTTGGCCTCCAAAGGGCTGTGATTATAACTCTGAATGGCAATTTTGATGTATTGGGCTACATAGAGAGTTCAAGGCCAGCATGAGCTATATGAGACCATCTCAATAAGCAAAAAAGGAAAGCAACCAAAAACTTATGAGCCAAAGCATAAGCAAGCACAACAAAAACTATTCTGAGATGATGCCAAAGCTGAGTGGGTACACAGACCCCTTCTGCATCTCCATGTCCATGACACTTCCAGTATTTTAAGAATTCAACCTAACAAACATCAGTTAAAATCAACCACGGGCTGCAAATAAGACTTTGTATGGTAAGGATTGAGGTTATGTAACTTTTGACCATGAAATTCTAAATTATTAGTTTTAAATCATATTCTATGAACATGAGAAAAAACTTGGAAGTATACTCTTATTTCTCATAAATTATATTTTATATTCATTAAGCACAGTGCAAGGGCCAGAGACATGGCTCTTAGGTAAAGGTACCAAATGCCAAACCTCACAATTTGAGATATATTCCTAGGAAGAGAGAACCGATTCTCACAAGTTGTCTTCTGACCTCCACATGCCAACTCCCAACACACAGGTGTGTGTGTGTGTGTGTGTGTGTGTGTGTGTGTGTGTGTGTAAGAGATACAATTTGAAGAGAAAAAGAAGGGATGGAGAGATGGCTCAGCAGTTAAGGGTACTGGCTGCTCTTCCAGAGGACCCAGGTTTAATTACCATATGGCAGCTAACAACTGTCTATAATTCCAGTTCCAAGAGATCCACTTCTCTTTTCAGGTGGCCATGGGCACTGCACACACATGGCACACAGACATACATGAAGACGAAACACCCATGCACATAAAATAAAAATAAATCTTCAATTAAAAAAAGAAAAAATATTACAATGTATGTATATATTACAGATGGGAAAAAAATTCACTTCCACTTATCCACTGAATCATTTTATTTGGTTGGTTTTTGTTGCTTTTTGTTTGTTTTGTTTGAAAGAGGATCTCTCTACATAGCCCTTGCTGCCCTGGAAATAACTATGTAGACCAGGCTGGCCTGGAACTAATAGAGACCTGCCTGCCTCTAAGTGCTAGACCACTAGACCACTTCTAGCCTGAATCATCATTTAAAAAAAAAAAAAAAAGCAGTCAGTGGGGTCAGGAAGATGGCTCAGTGGTTAAGAGCACTAACTGCTCTTGCAGAAGACCTGAATTCAACTCCCTTCACCTACATGGTGGCTTACAAACACCTGTAACTCCAATTCTTCTTCTGACTTCCATGGGCATATGGTACACATACTACATGCAGGCAAAGCATTCATACACATAAAATATATAAATCTTCTGAATATTTTTTTAAATCTTAAAAACTGTAAGCTACATTAGCTTAAGATCATCGTATTTAGCCCAGCTATACAAATGAGAAAAAGCAGGTTCAGAGAGTATAGAGTGCTTGCCAGCCACAGCTCCTAGGAGCCAGAGCAAAGGAAAAACCATCAACATCTCAGTGCACCACTAGGTTAGCTGACTGTCAGCTCTGAATAACTTTTAGTTACCTTTTCAGTCTCTAATGTCTCAACATGAATGCCTTTGGGAAACCTAAATGAAAAAAAAAAGAAAAAAAGAAAGAAAAGAAAACTCATCAGTGCAGACTCAATGACTGCTAAAACCCAAAGAATTTGACAAGCAGCCACATGGCTCTAAACTGAAGTTTTACTACAGTGAGACAATCACCACTACACTTTACAATAAGCCCACTTATAACACTTCAGCCGCTGTTTCCCTGCCTCTTCTCTTAAATGCACTAGAATGTTATCAATTTCACGTGATCTGTTTAGGATTTTAGCACTTTCTAAAATGGATGGTATTTCATAAGATAGTCAACTCACTGACACAAAGGACATCTTGCTTCCTAATGCATACTTTGTAACTGAAATGGTGACAGTGTCTGTAGACTCCATGGGGTGCACAAAGAAAATGGTGGGGTGCCACTGGGCTGCAGTTTGCCTTGATGTTTACAGCAGCCAAAGAGGACAGGGATGTGGAAAGCATAGGGTTAGACATATGGCTAGGACAAGGTGGGAGGGTGGACAAGCCAGCCAGCAGCCGTCTGTCCTGCTCAAAGAGTATTCCCATGCACACATCACTATCAGATTATTTTCTATTCTGGAGGGGCAGAAGGGGAGGAAGGTGTAGAGAACAGAGGGAATTACATATTCCTTAAGACATAAGCAAAGTGGTAACAGAAAAAGAGTAGTCAATTTAAGAATTGACTGGGGATATGATATGGTCAAATCACCCATAACTGAAAATTTCAAGAGCAATGGGACCAAAGGCTATACTTTGTTTTATTAAATCCCTGTCCTTGAAAGCTCTCACACATCTAATTCAAATACTTACTTCCAACTCAAAGTCTGATAAATAAGTTTTCTTTGGAACCTATAAAACAAGAAAAGGAATTAACTTGGGCTATTAAGAATGAACCCTAACTGATTGGTCAAAGCTAAGGAAAGATTGAATTTAGTGTCCTCATTAGAACATGGAATGGACAACAAACACAGGCACATTTCTGAGGTAGAAGGACTCATCATTTGTCTTTATCAAGACTGTCATGTTATTATATTGCTTTTAGAGACTAGGTAGAAACTATGAGCCAACATATTGCAGCTGGATAAAGAGTTTAGAGCAGACATTTGCATTCCAACACCTTTGTGAAGGGTGCCATAAAACAAAAGGGGGAAAGAGGCTGACATTCTTTCACATGCTGATTTTTCTCTGTAGAGAGATGAAAAGAACAGAGGTGGGCTGACAGTGAACCCTTCTCTCCTGAGGTCCTCAAGCGCTTAGCACTCCTCCAGGCCAAGATGCCACTCCTGGGCACAACCCAATGGCTAAGCGGAAGAGTGATTTTCTTCTGTCCAAGGATGGGACAAAGTATTCATTCTGAGTAGACAGACATCCCCAATGTGTTAGTGTTATAAGTCTTAGGAGCACACCTGTGACAGAAAAACTATTTACAAGGATGCTATAAAAAGACCACACATGCCAGGCACAGGGGTGCATGCCTTTAATCCCAGCACTCAGGAGGCAGAGGCAGGGTATCTCTGAGTTCAAGGCCAGCCTGGTCTACATAGAGAGTTCCAGGACAGCTAGGGCTGTTACACAGCAAAAACCCGTCTTGGAAAACAAACAAACAACAACAAAAAAAACAAAAACAAAAAAAATTAAAAAAGAAAAGGAAGGAGAGACTACACATCAAAAAGCAGAACTCCTCTCCTAAAAAGGAATGCAACAAACAAAAACTGACCCAGTGCATGGCTCTAGATCCAAGCTCTTCTTCTCTTTATTTTGTAGGAAATTCTCTATCTTCTCTCTGTTGAGTAAGAATCAGACAATGACCATCAGTACCTTGAAGGAATGAAGTGATCAGAACAGTCATTGTACTCAAAACCCATACTCAAAGTAACCAGCAATAGTTACATTAAAAGCAATATAAATCCTGGGCTGGGGTGAAGCCAGTGGCACAGCACTTGTCTAGTATGAACAAAAGCCTGAATTTTATCTCTAGAACATGCCTACACACACAAAAGCAGTCTAGCTTACTTCCCCCTTTTTTCTTTTTTGAGACAGTCTCATATCCCAAGATGACCTCAAATTTGTTATGTACTGAGGACGGTTTGAACTTCTGATCCTCCTGCCTCTACCTCCCAAGTGCTGAATGCCAGGATTACAGATATGCACCACTACACTCAATTCATGCAGTGCTGGAGACCAAATCCTAGACTTTGTGCATTATAGGCAAGCATTCTACCAACTAAGTTATATTCCCAGACCCAAGAATGTATTTCTTATGCTTATTAGGTCTTCTTTCCATCATTCCAAGCAAATCAAAAAGATAATCAAAACCAAAGTTAATGGGTATATTTTTACATATGGTTTGGGTGAAATTATTGTTGTCACTAGCAAAATTATAACAATTTCTCAAACAATTAATCAATTTTAGAGCTGCAGAGACAAGTTAAGAGTACTTGCTATACAACCATGAGGGCAAGTGCAGAACCCAACACCAACAAGCCAGGCAGGGCTTAACATAGCCATAACCTTAGTGCTGGGGACAAGAGGACCACTGAGCCATAATGACTGCCAGCCTAGCTCCAGGTACAGGGAGAAACCTTACCTCAAAGTAATAAAACAAAGAATGACGCAGAAGGACACCCAACCCTTCTCTGACTGCCTCATGCAGACCCCCACACATATGTGTGTGTGTATGTGTGTGTGTGTGTGTATATATATATATATATATATATATATATATATATATATATACATCACCTAGACATAGACCAAATTTGTATCTTAAGAAAGAATTTAGCTGGGCGTTGGTGGCAGCGCCTTTAATCCCAGCACTTGGGAGACAATAGCAGGCGGATCTCTGTGAGTTGGAGACCAGCCTGGTCTACAAGAGCTAGTTCCAGGACAGACTCCCACACAACACAGGGCAACCCTGTCTCAAAAAACAAAAAAAAAAAAACAAAAAACAAAACAAAAAAAAAAAAGAAAGAAAAGAAAAAGAAAGAATTTATTAATACTAGTAATATATTTTTTACTTTTCTAATAAAGCTATTATGCTGGTAACTAACCTATATACTCCTCCTCCCAGGGCACATTTGCTTGTCAAAAACTTTACTGTGAGAAACAAAAAGTATATATGGAGTAATGTTCTAGAAAGGCTTGGTCCAGACAGATCTGCACACCTGCTGAGGCCCCACCCAACTTGCTGTTATTACCTATATTTAGATATGCCACAATCAAAACCTGCAACTCACATTCACACTTGGGTGAACGCCTGTGCAGCACAAGTTGGTGTGAAAGACAGAAATCCTGCCACAATCAAGATACTGCCCCTTACATCAACTTGTGTTCCCACCTGTGCATGTGGTACACAAGTAGGTATGAGAGACAGACATCCTCCAATAAGCCATAATTAAAGCCTGCCTCTCACATCACACCTACATAGGTACCCTGTAGGTGCTGCCCAGGGTGAGACAGCCCCACCTCATGCCGCATAATATCAGTGTAGGAACTTACATTACTTGGTCAATAAACTTCCTCTGATCCTCAGGGATTGTCACAGGACATTTTGCCAGAGCTCCTGCCCCATTGGCCTGAGAACGTTTTTCATCAAATTGTTCTCTCAGATGTCTTTCTTCTTCTTGATTCAGATATGGAATTCCTACACATAATTTTTTTTTAAGAAAAAATTAGAAGAAATAATGATTTCACACAGAAAACTCTTCATATAATTTTTTTTTGGGGGGGGGGGGGGTTGAGACAGGGTTTCTCTGTGGCTTTGGAGGCTGTCTTGGAACTACCTCTTGTAGACCAGGCTGGTCTTGGACTCACAGAGATCTGCCTGTCTCTGCCTCCTGTGTGCTGGGATTAAAAGGGTGCGCCACCACTGCCCAGCTAAATTTATTTTTATTTATGTGTATGTGTACGTGTCTTGTGTGCAGATGCCTGCAGAGATCAGAAAAGGGTCTCAGATCCCCTAGAACTGGAGTTACAGGCAATTGTGAGTTGCCAGATGTGGGTGGTGGGAACTGAATAAACTCCAGCCCCTGGGAAGAAAAGCAACCATTCTTAACTTCTGAGCCACATATCCAGCCCTCACACAAAACTATTTTTGTTTGTTGGTTGGTTTGGGGGATTTGTTTTGTTTTGGTTTTTTTGGTTTTTTTGAGACAGGGTCCCACCATGTAGCCCTGGCACTGCTGGAATTCACTTTGGAGACCAGGCTGGCCTTGAACTCACTGAGATCCACCTGCAACTGCCTCCTGAGTGATGGATTAAAGGCGTGTGTCATTACACTTGGCTTATACAAAAAAGTTTTTAACTAACAAAAAATCTATCATACTCAGAAAACATCTTAACTATATTTTTAAGATAAAAAAAAAAAAAAAAACCATTTCTCCTAGGAATGGGAAAAAAAGACAAGATCTCCTGAGTAAACTGGGAATGTGGGGGCAGACTCCTGCAGAGCCACCTGCTGCTGTCTTTGTCCCCTAACTTGTCCCCTGGGGTTAATAAAATCTCTTTTGTGCTGAGAAAAACAAACAAATAAATAACAGAGAAGGTAAGCAACCATTCTCGTTCATGCACTCATTCACTTTTCAATAAACACTTGGCACTGATGCTATGTTGAGCATTTATGAATGAGAACATGAAGGAACCAACAAAGACAGCCTGTTCTGCCACAGAGAGAACATCTGACCAGAGGAGCAGAAAAGGCCACTTTGAGGGAAAACCCAAATGACAAGTTAGTATTTCCTCAAGAAATGTACAAAACCCGGCATTTCGGATCATCCTGGTGGATGATGAAGTCACCCTGAGCAAGAGAAGGACTAGGCATACAAACAACAATGCCAGGCCAGAGCTCAAGCTCCTGGAGAATGCCTGGAGAAGTTATTCCAGCAGAAGTTATTCCAGGGCTTCTGGCTTTGAGACAGGACCTCTTGCTATGTAGCCAAGGCGGGCAATGAACCTGCAATACTCCTGCCTCAGCTTCCCAACTACTAGGATTACAGGCAGCTACCAAATCTGCCTCTCAAATATTCTTTTATCCTTCTTTCTTTTTCTTTTCTTTTTGCAGTACTAAAGAGAAAACTGGGTCTCACATAAGCTTAGTACTGCAAAAAGAAAAGAAAAAGAAAGAAGGATAAAAGAATATTTGCTCTTCCGCTGACTTACCACCTGTCACCTTCACTCTCAAACATTTAAGGGAAAGGAAGTCATTCTACTATGTCCTACTATCCAATATTCCAGCCGTACCATTCTACAAATAGTTAATAGTCACCTCCCTGAAAAAGAGGCCTTGCCAGGTGGTGGTGGCACACACCTTTAATCCCAGCACTAAGGAGGTAGAGGCAGGTAAATCTCTGTGAGCTCAAGGCCAGCCTGGTCTACAGAGTGAGTTCCAGGACAGCCAGGGCTGTCCCACAGAGAAACCATGTCTTGGAAAGGAAAAAAAAAAAAAGAAAAAAAAAGAGGCCTATGCTTTATAGTGGGGATAGGGCAAGAGGAAGCCACTGTCTCTCCTCAGCATGCTGTCCAGTCCCACATCCCCACAGGGAGAGCCATTAGAATCATTCCAACTACACAGACCACACCTCTTCCCCATGAAGTGTCTCCAATTAAAAGAAACACAGTAATGAATAAAAGAGTATTGTGTCCAAAAGACTAGAATACAGTGTTAAGTATTACAAACACCTGTCACACTGGCAAAAACTAGAAAGCATTCTTACATTTGGACATAGATGTGACTAAATCCTACAGGGATAGGATGAATTATCCTCAATCAAATCAGAGTTTAAGAGGCCTCATTACAATTCAAGGAAATAGTATCTACTCTCCTGCTCACCTCAGAATTAACTAGGTTTACAAAATTAGAGGGTAGCCGGGCAGTGGTGGCGCACACCTTTAATCCCAGCACTGGGGAGACAAGAGGCATGCGGATCTCTGTGAATTCGAGACCAGCATGGCTCTACAAGAGCTAGTTCCAGGACAGCCTCCAAAGCCACAGAGAAACCCTGTCTTGAAAAAACAAATAATAATAATAATAATAATAATAATAATAATAATAATAATAATAATTAAATAAAAATAAAAATTAGAGGGTGAAGCATAAGCAGTTAAAAAAGCATTTGCTGCTCTTCCAGAAGACCCGAGTCTAGCTCCCAGCACCCACATCACACAGTTCACCTTTACCTCTAGCTGCAGAGAATGCAAATCCTCTTCTGAGTTCTGTGGGCAATCACACACAGTGGCATAGGCACAAGCGTAATACATAAACGCAAAAATGTTTTTTAATTAAAAAAATAGAGAGGTTCAGGGACATAGCTCAGCCAGTTAAATGCCTGCTAGGGAGCCATGAGGAGCAGAGTCTGGAGTCCCCACACCCATGGACAAGCCAGATGAGGCAGCACACATCTCTAACTCCAGTACAGCATATGAAACCTAGCACTGTCTACATGATGCACTCTAAATTGATAAAATAAAAAGGCTTTTAAGAAATGGTGATTCTCAAGCTGGGCATTGGTGGTGCACGCCTTTAATCCCAGCACTTGGGAGGCAGAGGCAGGCGGATCTCTGTGAGCAAGGCCAGACTGGTCTCCAGAGAGAGTGCCAGGATAGACTCCAAAGCTACACAGAGAAACCCTGTCTCGAAAAACAAAACAAAACAAAACAAAAGGTGATTCTCAAGTGAAACAAGATTTACTTCTGAAGGATTTCAAAGGTTTATCAACTACAAAGTCAGTCTTACCACTGCAAAATTTCAAATTGTGTGTGTGCCTGTGCATCTGTGTGTGGGTATATATACATGTAAGTGCTGGTGCCCGTAGAGACTGTAAGAGGGTGTTGGATTCCCTGAAACTAGAGTCACAGGCAGTTATGAGCCACCTGATGTGGGAATTGTGTTTTTAACTCAAATCTTCTGCAAGAACACTACTGATTCTCAAGTGAAACAAGATTTACTTCTGAAGGATTTCAAAGGTTTATCAACTACAAAGTCAGTCTTACCACTGCAAAACACTTTATTGAAGTCAAATCCTTGGCTCGCTAGGAAGTCAATGCTGGAGCTCTGAAACAGACAACACACATTAGTATGGCTCGAAGCCAGTGTCAGACTAGCAGAGAAATGATGCAGACCAGTAACTGTGATAACTCAACAAGTAAAAGCAGGCCAAAGGTCAAAAGTCTTTAGCCATAGCTGCCATGACTATTTTCCTTAAAATACCATGGTTCAACCCCTTAGTAGCTTTATAAAACGGTCTTTGTTTTATAATTTGTTAAAAATCCACTGAGTGGACAGACAACTCCCCAATGGCAGGAGGCTAGGCTCCTGCCCTCCTGCTACTATCCTGACTATAAGGCTGTAAACAGAAATAAAGTACATTCACAAAACCTCGAGTGCAAGCTAAAGGAATGTAAGGCATTCTGCACTGAGTGGGATGCAGGGGTGTGTGTGTGTGTGTGTGTGTGTGTGTGTGTGAAGAGGGGTGGAGGTAGAATGGCAGGCACATGCAGAAGTCAAAGGACAACTTACAGAGTTGGTTCTCTCCTTCCACCTTTAAGTGGGTTCAAGGGACTGAACTCAGAGCAAGCATTTCTACTATCTTACCAGTCTCACTGTCTTTTTTTACCAGGCTCAAAAACTTACTGTCTTCTTTTGCATCATAATGATTTGTGTTGTTTTTTGAGACACGGCTTCATGTAGCCAGGGTAGCTAGAGCTCACTATGTAGCTGAAAATGGCCTTGAACTTCCTAACCCTCCTGCTTCCTGTGAGAGCTGAGACTGCAGCTGTGCACAACCATACCCAGTCTACGGGTCCTGGGTATAGACTCCAAAGCTTCTTGCTCATGCTAAGCAAGCACTCTACCAAATGAGGTAGCTACAGTCACAGCCCTAAATGTTCTTTGTGGGTTCTTGTTTTTGTTTCTGAGAAGTGGGGATTGAACCTAGGGCTTCATACATGCTATGCAAGAGCTCTACAATAGAGCTGTATCCTTGGCACTCTGCTTTTTGGGTTTTGTTTGTTTGTCTGTTTGTTTTTCAGACAGGGTCTCACTGAGTTATCAAAGTTAGCGTGGAACTCACTCTGTTATTCCACCAGTACTTTGAGCTCTGTTGCTCCCTGCCTCAGTCTCCTGAGTAGCTGGGATGATAGGCCTGTGCCAGTCTGGCCAGTTGGATGGGTTTGGGGGGTTTGGTGTTTTTTGTTTTGTTTTGTTTGTATTTTGTTTATTTGTTGTTTTTTGTGAGACAGGGTTTCTCTATATAACTGCTCTGGCTATTCTGGAACTCACTTTATAGACCAGGCTGACCTTGAAATCACAGAAATCAACCTGACTCTACCTCCTGAGTGCTGGGATTAAATATGTGTGCTACAGGCACCCAGACAATTGGATGCTTTTAATGTTCAAGACCCAAAGAGCAAAATTCCTAACTAAGCAAACCTGACTAACCAAACATATCCTGCACCTAGAAGATAAAAGATATGAATAGATTTATTAAAGCTGAGTAAATAATTCTAGAGATTGTATATGAATTTGCCCAAATCATGAAGCCCTTCCTCAAAGCAACTAAAGAGGACAATAATACCAAAGATACTGCGATTTTCTTTGTTCTCCTAAAGTTTTATATACTCATGTAAACACTCCACCTCTGACACACTAAGAAGCAACTGGATAGGCATTTTGTGTACCAAGTGCCAAACCAAGGCTGCTTGAACTTTTTCCTCTAGAAACCTCTTCTCACCCAAGAAACTTCACACAACCACAGGTACAGGCATATACAATAGGTAGACAAATCAACCATTTGCTGGTAAATAAATCACAGTGACATTTATTCTAGGAAAATTCTTTGGTACACACACATTTTACCATTTATTAAAGACAAAGGCACATTTGTGACACAAATCAAGCAGGAGAACCAGAAGTTTGAGGTAATTCTTGGCTACTTAGCAATTTTGAAATCCACCTGAACTACATGGGACCAAGTCTCAGAAAACACAGAGAGAAAGAGAAGGTGGAGGAAGTAGGAAAAGTAGACAGAAAGCATATAAATGCCATTTTGCAACTCCACCTGCTTCACTCTGCTTCGAAGCCCTGGGTTATGCAGCACTCTGCATCCCATTCCTCCACCTTACTAGCAGCTCAATGCTAAATACATTTAATTTTCAAGGACCCTGGAAGCTATTTGCCTTTAGGTCCCAGATGATTTAAGGGTGCAAACTCTTTAAGAACAATTAATTGTGACACAATTTTAAACTACTCAGACTCTAACTCCTTTGTAAAATATAGCTCTGCAGATTTAGGTGTGTGTCTATGTGTATGTATGTGTGTGTGTGTGTCTGTGTATATGTGTATGTATGTAGTATGTGGGAGAGGGTGCACGTGCCTATGCATGCTTGTATCTTCATATCATTCTCTACTTTGCTGTGTGTATAAATGTACGTGATTATATGTGATATATACATGTATGCACAGGTGCACTCAACTCACCCATACAGCCATCTGTGGAGACCTGAGATCAACACTAAATATTTTCCTCAATCACTCTCCACCTTTACTTTTGAGACACGGTCTCTTGTTGAACCTGGTGCTTGCCTTTTCAGCCAGACTGACTATCCAGAACCCACCTGTCTCAATGTGCAGCCCTGGGATTAGAGATTCTAGCTGGCATGTCCTAATTTTCCAAGGTCTATAGGGATCCAAATTGAGATTCCCCCACTCAGCCATAGCCCCAGAGCCTGCAGTTGTAGACTTTTAAATAAAATAAGCAAACAACAACAAAAATAAAAACCAACTTTATGACCAGGGAGGTAGCTCGGTTTATAAAATGCTTACGTATCATGCATGAGACCCTACAATTAAAAGTATGCGTCACTTGCCTGTCTATCTAAACCTTTGGGCCCAGTTTAACCAAGTGCTGGTAATCAAATTCAAGGACTTGTACATACTAGGCAAGCATTCTACCTATGAAGCTACATTCCCTGCCCTTGTCTTGTTACTTAAGAAAGAAAGTGCCCATGAGTCTGTCCTCTGGATTTCTGCAGGTACATTACCATTTTTATGGCAAAAAGGGAAAAGATGAACTCATGTTACTATGAGGAGAGAAGCTCAGCTGCAGGATTACCGGGGAGAAAGAACCCCCGTCTTCCCTCATGCACCCACATGTCTACTCTCCTTATCCATGACAACAAATAACCAAGGAGGCAGAAGGGAAACTTTATCCAGTATCTGCCAAGCCAGCTACCAGAGAGACTCAGGGTAAGTCTCCCTGAATCTCTACTTTGTGCTCTTCTCAAAAAGAAAATGGAGTCTTTTCCACCTTCTGTCTCCAAAATGGTGAGTGAGGGGCAAGGACCCAGGTTTAAGATATTTGACTCTTTCAGAAAACAAAGCTCCACCCTTGAGGAAGGAACAAAGACAATGAGGTACAGAGACATCTGTGAGTCCTAATGTAGGCTAAATCCAGAGGAAAACAGCAGAGGTCCCAAATGGAGTCCCACTGTAATGTCATGATCCCCAACTCAGCTTTATTAATAAATAATAAAAATAGTGATCTGATTTCTATTGCCTGTCTTTATAGCCCTTATCTTATAATATTCTGAAATAAGGAGATAACAATGTCATTAATTTTCAAAACTTAAACTGAAGGTCAGAAAGGTAATATAACTTACCCAAAGCCTAAATCTTGTTGCTTGGTTTTATTTTGTTTTGTGTTTGTTTGTTTGTTTGTTTTGGGGGTTGTTTTTTTGAGACAGGGTTTGATATAGTTCAGACTGCCCTCAAACTCACTATGTAGCCAAGGATGATTTCTAATTAATGATCCCTCTACTTCCACCTCCCTCCCAAGGCTGAATCCCAGGCATTCACCACTATGTGGTACTGGAGATGGAACCCAGGGCATCATTCGTGCTGGGCAAGCACTCTCGTAACTGACCCTCCAGGCGCTAGAGCTAAATCTAAAGGAATTCTACATTTCCACTCCATCCCATCAGCACTTCATTAGTGGGAAAATGCAGTTCCACTACTAACCTGGCAAACAAACTTGACATCTGGTGAGGACCTACTGAAAGGCTTGGGGAAAACATAGAAGTTAAATGACTTCGTTATATACCTAGGAAAATAAGAAAAAAGGGACACTTAGGGATGATAACAGGAGACAACTTAGGAATTCCCAACTATTAAGACAACCTACTTGGAATCTGTGTGGTCATACTTAAAAGCGCAAAGTCCAAACTGAAACAGCAAAAAGTCCATAGAATGCTGAAAAAGGAAAATAAAACATCAGTCACAAGAGAGCCACATATCTGACATGAGCAAGTATTTTCAACCTGGTGACTTTCTGAATCACTCACTATGACTTCAGCAGAACAGACTGGAGGGATCACTCACTATGAACAGACTGGAGGGAACAGACTGTGCAGGCTATATATCAAAAGTCTTATTCATTTATACACAGTTCCCAACTAAGAAACCATCTATCATCCCCAGAGCATAGTATTAGACCTATTTCCAAATTACTACAACTACATCATATTTATTTCCTACATATCAAATTAATTTTAAGAATAGCCTTCAGAATGTTTTACAACAAACAATTAATTTCTGCTATTTTAAACATAACTAAAGTGTTATTTTGTGGCTGGTGTTCAGAAGACACACCTCACTTAGAAAACACGCAAGTGTAAGTTTAATGATTCCACCTCTTCATAATTCAATAGCAGGATCCACATGACAGAGAAAAAGACTCTTGAGCATATCTACTTGCCTTTTTAAGCTTCTGATATCTCTCTTCTGGGGTGTCAAAACCACTTGTCAATGCAGTGACTGAGGGTCCATCGCTGATTCCTAGATCATACAAAATAAGGATTGGGCTCACTAATAAATGCTAGTGTAAAACTGTCACATGCTACAGCGTCAGTCTCCATTCAGTGTCTATCACATTCCTATTAGTTAAAATGAATTCAAAGTGTCTATGTCATACTTTTTCAAAATTAACATTAATGTGTGTGGTGGTTGTTGTTCACTGACAGAAGTGCTTGCTTGCCTTGCACATGAGAGAGCCTGGATTAGATTCCTGCATTCATAGACAAATAATAATTAAGGGTTGGAGAGATGGATTAGTCAGCAAAACACTTGCTGTGTAAGCATGAGGACCTGAGTTGGAGTCCCCAGAACCCATGGAAACAGCTACATGTATCACAGGGGAGGCAGAGACAATGGATCCCTGGACCACATTGGCCAGATAGCCAATCTAGTGACTTCTAGGCTCAGTAAAAGATGCTGTCTAAAAAAAAAGAAAAAAAAAAAAAAAAAAAAAAAAAAAAAATTCAGAATTTGATTTAGGAAAGCATCCAATGTTATACGCTAGCCTCCACCCATACACATATATGTGTACACGCTTATACATAGACACAAACACAAATGCATGCACACATGTATCTACTGAGCTACTAAATAAAGATTTCCACTAAAGCATTAAGTAATATCATCATTTGTCATCCAAGTGTAGCCCTGGCCAGTCAAAAATACTTACATGATGTGTCTAGAATGGTCACAATCAAAGACTAATGATGGCTGAGAGAGGCTAAAGGGAGTAATGGATAATTCCATGAGTAATGTGCGTGTTTAAGATTTAAAAAAAAAAAAATTCCAGAAATGGATGGTGCCAGCTGCACAGCAACATGTGAGTAATTAATGCCACCAAATTGCAAAAACTATTTAAGAACAACTGAAATAGGGCTGGGGAAATGGCTCAAAAGGTAAAGTGCTTGCCATGCAAACAAAAGGACCCAAATTTGGACCTTCACCATATAAAAGTTGGACATGACAACACACACCTGAAACCCTAGCACTGGAGTGCTTGTGGGGAGAAGCAGATAGATCCTGAGGGCTGCTGACTGATTGAAAGGCCAGCTCTAGGTTCCAGAGGAGAATGTGGGTTTTTGTTTGTTTGTTTTTGTTTTTTCAAGGCAGGGTTTCTCTGTTGTAGCTTTGTAGACCAGGCTGGCCTCGAACTCACAGAGATGCGCCTCTGCCTACCAAGTGCTGGGATTAAAGGCGTGCACCACCACCGCCAGGTCAAGAGAACCTGTTTGTTAAAGAAAGATGGAGAGATCCCGGGTGCACCCATGCCTTTGATCCCAGAAGCAGGTGGGTCTCCATGAGTTCAAGGCCAGCCCAGTCTACAGAGTTCCAGGCCTACCAAAACTGTTATACAGAGAAACCAAGTCTAGAAAAATACAAAACAAAACAAGAAAACAACCACAAAAACTAAACCTCTTGTTTAACCATAGTCACCTAAATTGTTTTAAGCCGCACCAGAAATATAATCTGTATCCACAAACCTCACAACCTGACCACAGAACCACTGCATCTCTCCCACGCTTTTTCCATAACCAGCAAGATTAGGAAAGGAGCCTTAGCTATACAAGGTGTAAGTAAGCTCAGAGCTTTCCAGGGAGTGATACCTGAAAATTCCCCATCGATGGCGAAGAAGTCAGCCTCCTCTATGGCCTGGTACACTTTGTGAAGATTACTCTTAAAATCTGCAGAGAAACCAAGAAGAGGCTCAGAACAGGTAGCCGGCCTTCCTGCCCACCAACTAAAAGGATATGGGAGAAGGGTCCGGAGGAGCACCCAGGGCCACGGAAGAGATGGGCAAATCCCTAAGGTATGCAAGGACCACAGGGAGACAACTTCAAGGGTGGCTAGACAGGAGTCAAGACCTCAAGTGTGCACGACTGAATAGGTGCTAAGCCAGAGAAGGTGCACGGGGGAAGAAGGCAAGGGTCCTAAGGGTGCATGTTTCGCAGAGGGACAGGCAGCAGCACCAGCTTCGGAAGAAGCAAAGCCAGCAGGACTGACTTGGCCCCGGGTCCCGCCAAGCACACGAGGTCTGGGCCTAGCACGCCGGGTAGGCTTGGGGACAAGGTGGGGGGCTACACAGCGGACACGCACTGCTCCGGATTATCTCCATTCTGCCGCGCAGACGGAACCCCGGCCCCGCCCAGGCCGACGCCGGTCCACGCGCAGAGTTCCGCAGCAAAGAGCAGCGAAAGCGGTGTCGGAGGCGGCCAAGAAACAGCCCGCGGTGGACACTTCCGGAAACAGCGCGCGCTGCTGCGCCTGCGTCAGAGCTGCGTCACGGCAGGGGTGGGGCGGAGGCTGAGGGCCTAGGCTACTAGGAAGCAAGAAGGTCCCAAACCCCGGCCCACCTGTTGAAGAAATTCCTACTCTGACACCTAGTTGATCAAGAGATTTTTGCTGTTGTTGTTTTGGTTTGCTTTGGTTTCTTTGGTTTTTCGAGACAGGGTTTCTCTGTGTAACAGCTCTATCTGTCCTGGACTCTCTGGGTAGAGTAGGCTGGCCTCTAACTCACAGAGATCCGCCTGCCTCTGCCACTACAATGCTGGGATTAAAGGCATGCGACACCACCGAAGGCTTGATCTAGAGATTTTTGTACCTTTCTCCCCTGGGCCTGAAATTGAGGCAGGGGAATTGCAAATTCCAGGCCGCTTAGGAGACATAATGTGAATCTGTCTAAAAATAAATATATGTGTATATAATGTTATTTGCTTAATTTGTGGGGTGGTGTTGGAGGGGTATATGTGTGCATGCATGTTTGTGTTTGGTGATCGATCGCCAGGGTAGGCAAAGGAGGACCTCCGGTGTCTTCTCTGGTTCTCTGCTCTCTCACTGTTTCAGCCGGAATAGCTTTCCAGAGAGCTCCTAAGATGCCAGTCTCTGTCTCCCAGCACTGGGGTTACAGGCCTGCAGGGCTGTGCCTGTCTTTTTATTTGGGTGCTGGGGATTTGTACTAAGTCTTGTTGATTTGACCGTAAGTGCTCTTACCTATGTAACCAATTCTCAGCCCCTGTGTATTTCGTTCCAGCTCCATGCCACTCTGATAGCATGAGGATACCATAATGAGAAAGTATGGTGACTGTCCCCACTGGAGCTGTGTGGTGGTACATACTTTTAACACCTGCACCTTAGAGGTAGAAACAGGCATATCTCTGCCTTCCAGGCTGGCCAGAGTTACATAGTGAGATCCTCTCTCAAAAAAAAAAAAAAAAAGGGGGGGGGGTACTGGAGAGATGGCTCAAAAGTTAAGCTCTTCCAGAGGACCCAGGTTCAATTCCCAGCAACCACGTGGTGGCTTACAACCATCTGCAACGATGCCCTCTTCTGGCATGCAGGCATGCATGCAGGTAGAACGCTATATATATTAAAAAAAGAAAAATCTTTACTATTTTTTTTCCCTGAGACAGAGTTTCTCTGTGTAACAGTCCTGGATGTCCTGGAACTCTCTCTGTAGAGCAGGCTGGCCTTGAACTCACTGAGATCTGCCCGCCTCTGCCTCCCAAGTGCTGGGATCAAAGGCATACTCCACCACTGCCCAAAAATTAAATAAACCTTTAAAAAAAAAAAGTGAAAATGTTATGCCCAAGTCTCAAAGATCCCCAAACCACCAGGGAGACAGACCCACTGAACTGCAAAAGCAAGGTTTATTGCTCCATCCAACCATGACAGGGGCCTTGTCTAGCTAGCTGACACAGCAGCCACCAGAGGAAGTGAGTTCCCTGTATACTGCTAGGATTTTTAAAGGAAAAAACTGCAGGGTTACATCACCGGGAGGGAAGAAGTACGGGTCGGTTCCTGATTGGTTGACATTTGGGGAACAATTAGGAAATTTTTAAAGTCATATTTTGGCATGAAATACCTGTGTGTCAATTATTCTCATTGATTGGTGCTAAGAGGGAAAATTCTGTGGTTTCTATAGCTTTGTCTTGTTACTTGCAGGTGGCCTGTTGTACATAGACACCAATAGTTTTCAGAACTGAATATCTGAATATCCTGGAGACTACAGGGAAGGTTTTGGTCTCTCCTAGAGTTTCTTTGCGGCCAAACATGGTTTCCAGGAACCGAGTGTCCAGAAGGCTAAGGTAAGGGGTCTGGAGTTCCTATTTGGGGGGGGGGGTGTCCAAGACAAAGTTTCTCTGTGGCTTTGAAGGTTGTCCTGGAACTAGCTCTTGTAGACTAGGCTGGTCTCGAACTCACAGAGATGTACCTGCCTCTGCCCAGCAGGTCTGCAGTTTCTTTGTGTTCAGTTTTGGCTCTAGGCTCCAAGAAGGTAGGGGGAAGGGTTTCTTTGTGACATGTGCTGACATCAGAGGCCTACATGTCTTTTCTGTAGCCTATCATGACTGCTAAAGAGAGGGGCTAGGAGAGGGTCTGGTCCCTTCAAAAATAAGAGATATAGGAAGACAGAGGGAGAGAGCACGCATGACATCCTCAAAGGAATGGCAGTGGAGACCATGAACTGCTCAGAAAAAAATCCCCAAAACAATCCAAAGAAGGGAATGAATATCAGATTTTCATAAAATTTTAGGGGGTGGGGGGATATTGAAAGAGATGAATGGAAAGGGAGAGCATTTCAGGGTCAAGTAGAAACCTGTTGTAAGAGAAATTCCCCAGAATCTGCAAGGATGAACCCTAGCAATAGTGGATATGTAGCCTGAACCAGCCATCTCCAATGACCAGGCAAGACTTCCAGTGAAGGGATTAGGACAGTGTAACAATAACTCTTTCCACCAGCTGTCCGTTTCAGGGCCCCCAAATAACACACTGAGTCTTATATTAGTTACAATGCTGCTGGCCAATGACTAAGATTTCTTATTTGCTAGTTCTGTCTTAAGTATCAACCATAACCATAAATCTATACATTTTTATAATGACTTATCTTGCTGAGGACACCTGACATGTGCCCCCTCTTCCCTGGATCACATGGCGACCTCTCTTTATTACATTTCTCAGAATCCTCCTTCTCTCCTAGTCCCGCCTAACTTGCTTCCCTATTGGCCAACAGTGCTTTATTTATCAACCAATAAAACAATCATATACACAGAAGGACTTTCCCCAGCAGGACGCCAACCTAGCCACATAACCTTTGACCTACAGTCTGTCCTGCCTATGGGATGTGCTGGGACAAGGGTGATGCAGTGATTATAGGAATGGCCAACCAGTGGCTAGTCCAGCCTAAGACCCATGTCACTCATGAGAATGAGTCCACCCTTGACACTGCCTGGAGTACCAGGACACAGAAGATGGATTACCCAGAGACGTAGGATAGAACCAAACACCCTTGGGAAAAAAGTCAATGTAATGATGCCTATGATATTCTACTATACTCATAGATTGGTGTCTACCCCCATTGTCATAGGAGAGGCTTCATCCAGTAACTGATGGAAACAAATGCAGAGACTCACAATCAAACATTAGACCGAGCTCGGGGAATCCTGCTGAAGAGAGGGAGGATTGTACAAGTCAGAGAGTTCAAGGACATCACAGGAAAACCCACAAAATCAACTAACCTGGGCTCACAGGAGCTCACAGAGTCTGAGCCAACAACCAGGGAGTTTGCATGGGACTGACTCAGGCCCTCTACATATATGTGACACTTGTGTAGCTTCATCTATTTGTGGGACTCCTAACAGTGGGATCAGGGGAAGCAGATGTCCCCAATGCTTTGGTTGGCTTTTGGGAACCTATTCTTATACTGGGTTGCCTTGCCCAGCCTTAATACATAGGGAGGAGATTAGTCCTACCAAAACTTGATATACATGATTTGTTGATATCCATGGGAGACCTGCCCTTTATGGATCAAAAACGGAAGAGTGAATGGGGGGGGCAAGAGGGAGATGGGGGCAGGGAATGGGAAGAGAGGAGAGAGAGGAAACTGTGGTTGGGATGTAAAATAAATTAATTTAATATTTAAAATGTAGGGGATGCCAGGAAGTTTTATATTATGTGATTCAGTTTAACATAGAGTACATGTCAAAAAGAACTTGGGAGGGTTTAGGCACTGATTTCTTAATAAATTAGGAGTTGCTGTTAGTCCGTATCAAAGATAGTATGGGTTGTTTGTTTATTTTTAAATATTTCGAAGTAGAATACAGTAAAAAAAAAAAAAAGTAAAGTATTAGGTACTGACTGGTGTAATTGGTGATTTACTTAAACTACTGCTTGCACTGCCTATTTGCCAAGCAAGACTTCACTTTCTACCTGGAACAGAACGAACTGGGAAAATAGCTGTAACAATGAATTGTTACCATTAGCAACCTGTTGACTGTCATTGCAGTTCCATAAAATCTGGCTGGCTTGCCTGTACCACCTTGCAGTTTTAGAGTATAAGAATGCAAGCTGCATCGGAGCCTTTCAGAACTATCCTGCTTTGGTCCATCAGTGACATCACCTGTCTTCCACTCTCATCAGTATCAAAGTGCTTATTCCAGAAAGATTCCTGAAACATTTCATCTTATTTTTTTTTTGTCCATGATGGTAGCATCTTTTATTCATAAGAAGGGACACCGTTAATAGAGCAGTGACCTCACACCAAAACACCTAACATGGAGATGTCCCACAGGTGTCAGAGGACCAGGACACAGCCCACACTAGTGAAGATGCTGCTTGAATTGCAGGCCACAGTAGCTACACGTCCCCGTTTTCGTTTTTTTGTCCAAATTTATGTACACCTTGAGGTGGCCCAGGGCACCACCACCCCCATCGCAGGCAATGACCTGATGGTCCACCTCATTTCACGGGCTGCTCTGCTATTAAATCAATGGCGAAGTTTTCATTCACCTCTTTCTGACGATCTACAAACCGAATCCTCCTGTAGTCTTTTTCATCATAAATCTGGCCGGTGTGCGTGATCTTCTCCCCGCTGGGCGACACTCGCACCCCGAAAGCCCGCGCAACCCTAGGGAGAGCCAGCAGCCGGCGGAAGGTCAACACCGCCGCTATGTTGCCGGTGACCCTTGACCCAGCACCTCATCTTATTTTTTTTAATGTGTGTGTGTGTGTCTGTGTCTGTGTGTACGTGTGTGTGTGTGTGTGTGTGTGTGTGTGTATGCCTCATGTAGGTGCCCACAGAGGCTAGAAAAGGTCATCAGATCCTCTAGAGCTGGAGTTACCAGTGGTTGTCCGCTCTCTGACATGGCTCCTTAGAACTGAACTCTGGTTCTCTGTCAGTGAAACCACCAAGCTAGACCACTCTATGGGTAGAAAGAACAATTTATTGGGGAACAAACTGTCAGGCTGCCTCAGAGGGGTAGAGAACAGCAGCTTGGCCAGAAAAGTTTTGACAGTTTTATCAGGCAGGAGCAACTAGAGGTGGCCTGCAGTCAGGACAGTCTGGAAATTGCTGTGGGGACTTGGAACTGAGGTAGGCTGTTAAGGTTAATTGGAAACTAGCTGCACTTTGCCCAAGGTGGTTGGTCATCAGGAGCAGAGAAGGGAAGCAGTGGCTTTCCTGACAAATAGAAACCCATCTGGTGTGATTCCTGAGGAGTTTCTGTTTATCCTGTAAGAATCTGTATGTTTACCAGGTAAGAATTCAACTGGGTGCCAGGTAGGGTGAGCGCCTTTCATCCCAGCACTCAGGAGGTGGAGGCAGGTATATCTCTGAGTCTGAGGCCAGCCTGGTCTACAGAGTGAGTTCTAGGATAGTTAGGGCTACACAGAGAAACCCTGTCTCAAAAAACCAAACCACAAATGGATGGATGGATGGATGCATGGATAGATAGAGAGATAGAGAGATAGATAGATAGACAGACAGACAGACAGACAGACAGACAGACAGACAGATGAATGATGTAGGGCATGCTGAAGAGACTCTGGCTTGCTTGAACATGGTGAGCATGGCTCTAGCAGACCTTGCTAGTCTCTCCAATTCCCTCTTATTTGCTGTTAGCTTCTATTCCTAAAGCTATTCCCCAAGATCCATTCCCTTATTTGGCCACTTTCTCCTCCTAACAACCAAGGTCCAGCTATCAAAGTATTAAAGTTCAGCAATCAGAAACCCCCTTTGACTCACCTAATTAACATGCCTAATCAAAATACATCACTACATCCTAGCCCATTCTAACACAGACCTCCCTTTTTTCTCTTCTTAAAAATTACACCTGCAGTCAGATGCTGTTGTTTTTCTGAGTCAGAAAGCAGCCACTTTACCCTTTCTTTCCCAATTAGTAAAGGATCTCTCTGTGAAACATGCGTTTTGGTGTGGTTTGTGCCTAATCTAGGAACTGGGAGGGAATCACCACTCTGGGGGGTCTCCTTAACATACCTGAACTCAAAACATTTGGGGAGGATGATTTGAGAGGATCTGAAATTCAAGACTAACCTGAGCTACAAAGGCTGTCTCAAAAACGGAAAAAAAAGTAAATTCTGTTATGTATCACCTATCACAATGAAGAAAAGTTTACACTTTTGCCAGATTATTCTCTAGAAAGGAGATTCACACTTCTTGCACTAGCAGAGATCATTTTTACTCTTTACCAGTTTGAGAGGAATTGTCTTATTTGTTCATTTAGAGATGGCTGGTCTCAAACTCACTCCCAAGTTAAGGGAGAATCTTGAACTTCTTTCTGATCCTCTTGTCTACTCCCTGCCCAGTGCTGGGATTACAGGTGTTTCACTTCTCTCAATTAGGTTATATGCTGTTGGAGATAAAACTCAGCACACCAAATATGATGGGCAAGCACTATACCGGTGTTTCATCCCCAGCCCCATCTTCAACAACTTAAAAATGTTGTCAAATTTGAGAATCTTCAAGGCGAAAAGATCAAATTCACAATTGTCCAACTAAAGCATTCTGTATCTTGCGGTATACCAGGGACTGGCCAGCTTGCTGTCTCAGCCTAAATTGGGATTTGAGAGAGAAGCCCTTTTATGGGAGAGATAAGGTGTTCAGCAGGGTAAGAGAGATGGCTGTTATACATTTGTCTCAGCCCTTACCAGGTTTTGACCTGGGAGGAATGACAAACTCAGGGAGTTGGTTTTGAGTATATAAATTTTACTTCACACTTATGTCAAAGTAACACACAAGCATAAGCAAACAATCCTAAGAACCACAGACAATAGGCTCATAGCAGGAGGGTACCTATAGCGGGAATGGGGGGTTGGGGGTGGTTTGTACCTCTCCTGCAGTGGCCTGCAGTTTCGGGCTCAAGGCTTCTATTCTCTGGATTCAGGCTGTCGAGTCTCCTGAGGGCCTGGGTTCAGAACTGGGCAGCACTCAGCTTGATGGACTGGTTGTTTCAGGTTAGTGGAGGAGAGCTCCAGGACATAGAGTCGTGGTACACTAAAGTTCCCAGTTCTAAGCTGGTCCTTAAATAGTTTGCTAAATCTTGCTTATCACACTTTGCCACACTCCACACATTCTCACTCTTTATCTACAATGGTCACACAGTGGGCCTATACTCCCTTTCTTTTTAATCTTTCTTCAGCCACGCCTTTTTGCCTACCTGGTTGTAACCTTTGTCTTAATCTCCCTCCAGTCAGGCCTTTGCCTGCCTGGTTACAAGGCTCCTTACAACCTTGTTAGAAAGACACAAAGAAAGGGAAGTGAGAACAAGGGTAATAGGATTAACAGGTGAATAGGGTTGCAATTCAGTACTTGAAGGGGTTGCAGGCAGTTTACATAAGAAACTGGGATTTATTCTTAATTACAAATAGAATTTTGTTGTTGTTGTTTGAGACAGGTTTTCTCTGTGCAGCTCTGGCTGTCTTGAAAATCACTCTGTAGACCAGGCTGGCCTTAAACTCAGAGATCCTCCTGCCTCTACCTCATAAATGTTGGGATTAAAGTTGTATGCCACCACTTCCTGGCAATGGGAACCTATTCTTTAATTACAAACAGAGCCCTTTACCTTCACAGAACAAACAGGAACTTCTTAATTACAAGTAGAAACCTTGCCCAGCAGTGATGGTGCATGCCTTTAATCCCAGCACTCAGGAGGCAGAGGCAGGTAGGTTCCAGACCAGCCAGGTCTAAAAAAGCTAGTTCCAGGATAGGCTCCAAAGCTACACTGAGAAACCCTGGTGGCGTGCTTAACTTGCAAGGATTTAACACAGGACAAAGAGGAACTTACTCCTAACTTGTCTTAACTGCAAATAGAATCCTTAACCCTCAAGGTGTGTTTTTCCTGTTTTGGTCGCCCATTTCACAATGTCTAAAACGATTGAAAAACACAGCGCTGTGAATTCTTAACAGTTCCATACCGAAGTGGGTGGCTGCGGGGTAAACGTCCGTTTATTCCAAATCCCGACTCCATAAATGAAATTTTAAGCACTGCCTCTGTGGTTTTCTGCATGAATATAAAGGTAAGGTTTATTGTGGTGCATACGGGAATTGTGAAAGAATTATGTTAATGCCTGACCAACGCTAGCTCATCTAAATACAGGAACACGTTCCAGGAGGGACACTTAACAGAAAACACCTCCTCACCCTCGGGCTGTGACTTCCGTCCTCCGACCACACGAAAAGTGGGCGGGTTGCATTAGTGCGCATGCGGCGCCCCGTTCCCCGGAGCGGCCGCTCTAGGCAGTGAGGAGGTCGCTTGGGGTTGAGAGTCTGCGGCGAAAGAAGGACCTCTCCTCTATGGTCGAGGGAGCCCCGCATGGTCGACCCGCAGACCTGGGTTATTTCCGGAAGCGAATTGGGACGCTTTCCCTCTGCTTCCGCAGGGCTCCTGGCGGGTGGCGGTGACCGAGTGGGTCTCGGGACTAGTGGCGAGGTGAGCTTCAACACGGCGGGGAGGGTAACGGGGCGGCAGGGCGCTGGCTTGAGATGGAACGGACCACGCTCCCCGAGACGCACCGGCAGGGTGGCCCAGCCTCGCGGGCTTTTCCTGACCCGGCCGGGGCGCTGCAAGTGACCTGCCGGGCTGCGCACCGCCTTCCGAGGCGAGGACCCACGCCGCCGTGGGTCTCTAGGCCTTGCCCGCGTCGGGGTCTGGATCCAAGCCACTGGTCCCCAGGGGTGGTAGACAAGGGGGTCATGCTTCCACACACCTGCGGGCTAGGGGTGCTCGTCACGTCCGCTGGATCCGAACCCTTCCTGTCCCAAGGCAGAGGGTTCATATTGGGAAGCTCAGAAAAGGGAACTTCAAACTCCAAAGTCACACTGGGCTGACTTAGAGCTTTTCTCTTCTCATTTCCATATTCACCGCTCAGAAATCTTTTACTAAGGGGAGCGTGTGTGTGTGTGTGTGTGTGTGTGTGTGTGTGTGTGTGTGTGTGTGTGTGTGTGTACACTATGTACTTTCTACCCCACTCTCTAGCTTTTATCATAATCCAACAGGAAGAATTTTCCCAACTGGGGATCTTTAGTTGGTCAAGGGGCGAACCCCTAACTTTGGTAGGAAAGAGAAAATATAAGTGGGAGCGTTGTTATGCCTGCAGCTGTTGCCAATGAGTTGTTCCCGCGAAGACCATTGGTTCGTCCTTGGGGTAGCCCCAACGTCACACCAGGAGAGGCCTATACAAAGGAGTTTTCCTCTTATCTTTAGGCACACCCCAGGACCACGTGCCTGTGCTGTGCCTATGCAGTTTTGTGTGATCTTGTCACCGCTATTTTGTAAACAGCTTGGATGTGTCCTGACCCAAGTACTCAGTATATGCCTGGGTTTATCTTTCACAGACCTGATAAAAAAACCCTACTCCTGTGCTATTCAGACCCCCCCTTTTTTTCTTTTCCCTCCAGTTTCAGATATATCCTAACAACACTAGTCACTAGTAAAATTCGGCTATTAGTAATCTCCTTAATATCAGTCAGTCATCCAGCAAACTTTTTATATATCTGTGGACACAGTTTGGCATCTATTTCCCACAATCCTTTAAAACGTTGATACAAGTGTAGACTGATAATGGGAAATAATGAGACTCAAGGAGAACAAAGGTGACCAGGTTGGGATCCTAGGTTAGCCTCACTCTGAAGACTTCTTTTGGTTTGGCTTGGGGGCGGGGGGGGGGGGGGGGGTGGGGGTAGTTTTTGCTTATTGTTTTGAGACAGGGTTTCCCTGTAGTCCTGACTGCCTCGGAACTCAGACTGGGATGACCTCAAATTGACAGAAATACACCTGCCTCTGCCTTCGGAGTGCAGGGATTAAAAGCACATGCCACCATGCCTAGCTTGTTTTGCTTTTGAGATAGAGCCCATGTAGTCCAGGCTTGCCAAGGACAACGCTTGGACTTCTGATTTTCCTGGCTTTCTGAATCGGGTAACAGGAAATGCAGAGGGGAAAATGAAACTAAATTGACACTAGTGATAAAATTTCACTCTTTTGATTCCCAGTCTCATGATTCAGAAATATGGCAGTTTTCCATGAGTGCTGAGATTACAGGTGTGTGCCACCATGCCCAGTTTATACAGTGCTAATGATAGAACCTAGTAAGCAAGCAAGCACTCTATCAAATAGTCTCAAACATTAGGTAACACAGATAAACCTTACACAGCTGCGTAGACAGGAACCATGTTGATTAAGCCAATTAAAAGTTTTTTGTTTGTTTTTTTTAAGATTTATTATGTATACAGTGTTCTGCCTGCATGTATCCTGCGCTCCAGAAGAGGGCACCAGACTACATTATAGATGGTTGGGAACCACCATGTGGTTGGCTGGGAATTGAATTCAGGACTTCTGGAAGAACGGGCAGTGCTCTTAACCCCTGAGCCATCTCTTCAGCCCCGCCAATTAAAAGTTTTAAGTTCTTTTAAAATGATGGCCAGACCAAGAGTGGTCTTGTGCCTCAGAAAAATGTCTTGGTTGCCAAGCTCAGGGATAGTTTTTAAAGGCAAAAACCACTACGACCATAAATTTTATCAAATGTCATAGTATCCTTAAATGTTCGTTCCTGGCAGAACATAGTAGTTATTTTAGGCATAATCTCAGATGTGACCATTGGGGAAAGGAGATAGAGGACTGAGAACAAACAAAATACAGTCAAGACAAGATGGCATACCTTAGTCATTTTAGGAGGAGTATATGAAAAAGAAACCAAGGAGTAGAAGTTTATTGATGGGACTACAATTGTGGTCTGTGAACTTAGTGTATTTTTAATAGAAATAACATTGTCATGGAGCCTGTTCTTAGTTGTCGTGAATAGCCTTGAGGCTGTGTTGTTGTTATGCCCATTTTACAGGTGATACAAAGAAAGGTAAATGACTTGCTTGAGATCTCCAGCTAATGGTTGAGCTAAGATTTAACTGCCTGGCATTTATGCTATAAGTGAAAATGCTGTTTGACAGCCAGACATGGTGTTTTAACAAGCCAAGGCCTTGTGGCACAGACCTTTAATCCCACCTACTTGATAGACTGAGGCAGTAAGATTTCAAGTTCAAAGCCTTAGTTAATGTGGATTAGAGCTGAAGGTCATTGCCTCTGTTGTAGAGTGTCTGTTTAGAATCTACGAAGTCCTGGGTACAGTTCCCAGTCCTAGAAAAGTTAATTTACTATTTGGCCATGCAGATTCTGAAGTGAATATCTCACATCTGTGGGTTTTAATTTTTTGTAGTAGGGAATATTTTGTTTTGAGACAGTTTCATGTATCATTGGCTGGCTTGAACTAAGGATGACATTGAAATCCTGGTTCTGCCTCTAGCTCTTAGCTGCTGGGATTATAGACTTCTGTCATCAGATCTGTCAGACAGATTCGAAAAAAGAATAGGAAGTGATATTTAAGTTTCACTTTAGCTGTACTTTAGTCTAAGACATATTTAGACATTTACATGTAGATTGCATGGAGTCCTAAACTTCCAGGCTTATGATAAGCTTGTGAAACACTTATTTTAGATACATATCCATGGAATGCATATCTACAAATTCAACAACCGGTAGGGAAAAGAATTTTTAAGTTAAATTTGGGGCTAGAGAAAGTAGTTCATTGGGATGGTGTATCTAGCATGTACAGTGGTCCTGAGTTTAATCCCTGGCCCTGCCAGAAAAATCCAGGAAGTTCCAAAAAGCAAAATTTGGATTTACCATATGCTAAGTGCTACACTGAATCCAGAGGAATGGAGCCATATGCAGGCATGTATACTCTGCAATAGCCTCCTACCATTTCACAGATCCTCAGTCTCTCCAGCATGATGGACATTGTTTCCATGGTATTTTGTTTATGTGAACTTTGTAGTCTATCCCACTTTGGTTGCATATATACTGAGCATGTGTCCCAATAGATGTCTAAAGGAGCCAGGCAGTGGTGGCACATGCCTTTAATCCCAGTGCTTGGGAGACAGGCAGGTGAATGGATCTCCAGAGGAAGTTCCAGGGCAGTAAAGGCTTCAGAAAAACACTGTCTCAAAAAACAAAACAGAACAACAACAAAAAAAGAGGACTAAAGGCTATAGGATACAGTGCATAAGCCACATGTAAACACTGTCCTTGCCCAGAAAGGAATTTGCAGAATCAGATTCTGGCACCTCTGGAAGTTCTGGAGCAGATACAAAAGGAGAACTGTACTCCTCTCCCTTGTTCTCAGACATCCTAATTCAAGTTCACTGTTTCCAACGGGATTCTGGTGAAGGTTTTTAGAGCTACATTGATAAAGAGATATTTGTCACTTCCGTTTTCATCTGCAAATATCTAGAGCCCCGTCTTATAGCTGTTCTGTGACATAAGAGGCTGTAATAGGCTTTACTGTGGTTTGACTCTGGAATTAAGGAGCCCAGGATTTGGAGAGAGAAAAAATATGTGCAAAGTATAGGAATGAGGTCAGCAAGTGCATTTTACTCTTCTAAGAAGTATATGGGACTCATGAGAAGGCTGCTATATGGGGGAAGCAGGCTGCAGAACATTTGGATCATGTCCTCTGTTCTGCCCTTGCCCTTGCCAGAGTTAAAAGTGAAGATGGAATGTATTTGGCATAAAGGAAAAAGGAAAGTCTTGAGTCATAGGTTTGTAGTGGTTTTTGGGTTGGGAGAGTTGTTTTTGTTTTTTCAAGACAGAGTTTCTCTCTGTAACAGTCCTGGCTGTCCTGGAACTCAATTTGTAGACCAGGCTGACCTCAAACTCACAGAGATCTACCTGTCTCTGCCTCCTGAGTGCTGGAATTAAGGCCTGTGCCACCCAACTGTGATACAGATTTACTTTCTAATGCAGTGGTTCTCAGTTTGAGGGTAGGGACCCCTTTGGGGTTCAAATGACCCGTTTACAGGGGTCACCTAAGACCTTAGAAAACACAGATGTTTGTTTACATTACAGTTCGTAACAGTAGCAAAATTACCTTTATGAAGTAGCAATGAAAATAATTTTATGGCTGGGGGTCACCACAACATGAGGAAGTGTATTAAAGGATGGCAGCATTAGGGAGGTTGAGAACCATTGTTCTGGTGGCTTAATATGCAAAAAGAATACAGAGCTAGGTCACTTTTTTTTTTCTTTTCTTCTTTTTTTTTTTTTTTTTTTTTTTTTTTTTTGGTTTGGTTTGGTTTTTCAAGACAGGGTTTCTCTGTAGCTTTGGAGCCTGCCCTGGAACTCGATTTATAGACCAGGCTCACCTTGAACTAACAGAGATCCACCTACTTCTACCCCACCCCCCACCCACCCCCAGCGCTCGGATTAAAAGAATGCACCAGCACTGCCTGGTTCTAGGTCACTTCTATGACTAAAGATCACTGAGGAAGTTGGTAATTTTACTGATTTGTTTGTTTATTTGTTTGTTCACTTGTTTTTGTTTTTGTTTTTTTGAGACAAAGTCTCACTGTGTAGCTCTGGCTGTCCTGAAACTTGGTATGTAGACCTGGCTGGCCTGGAACCCCCAGAAATCCTGCCTTTGCCTCCTGAGTGCCGGGACTAAAGGTGTGCCCAACTATGCCCAGCTAAATGTTGCTACTATAACCAGCACAGTATTAGGTATTTTGAGAGATTGCTGGTGGAGAACAGGCCTCTTTCTGATAGAGATCTCAGTAAGTGGGGGACAAGGCCAAGTTGGGGAAGAGTTGAGTTTACAGAATGATTTGTCTTTAAGTATTGATATGGACAGGTATTGAACCTCTTGGCACCTTTTTTAACTCATAAATCTATAAGAGGTGTGCACTGACCTTTCAGAGGTTGTAAGAAACCTATTGTTCCCAAAAATTAATACAAGGCAGTTTATACTTGCCTTTTTTGTTTTGTTTTATTGGTTTTTTGTTGTTGTTTTGTTTTGTTTTTCGAGACAGGGTTTCTCTGTAGCTTTGGAGCCTGTCCTGGAACTTGCTCTGTAGACCAGGCTGGCCTCGAGCTCACAGTGATCCACCTGCCTCTGCCTCCCAAGTGCTGGGATTAAAGGCATGTGCCATCACCACCAGCTTATACTTGACTTTTACTCACCAGCACAAACCAACCAGACCTCTAACTCCTCCCGTGGCAGCCTGCGTGCCAGCATCCTGGAACCTGGAGCCATCAATCCAAACTGGAGCCCATGTCTGCTAGAGTTCAGCCTATCTAGGGTGCAGGTGAAATTTGAGGCCAGTGTCTCAGTGTCCATTAAAGGACTGCTAAGACTGTCTTGGTGAACTTGTGGCCAGCCTAACCATCCATGCTTCACATCCCTGTTATCCTTGGTCACCGTCCAAGATCAGTATACAGAGAAGATGAGATGTGGTCTAATGGACTGTATGACAAAATACCTCCTCAGAATGCCCACAGTGATGAATCTGACCTGAAGATAACAAGAGATGGTCTTTCTGCAAGCCAGAATGCCTACAGTGATGAATCTGGCCTGAGAATAACAAGAGATGGTCTTTCTGTAAGCCAGAATGCTCACAGTGATGAATCTGACCTGAAGATAACAAGAGATGGTCTTTCTCTAAGCCAGAATGCCCACAGTGATGAATCTGGCCTGAGGATAACAAAAGATGGTCTTTCTGCAAGCCAGAATGCCCACAGTGATGAATCTGACCTGAAGATGACAAGAGATGGTCTTTCTGCAAGCCAGAACGCTCACAGTGACGAATCTGGCCTGAGGATAACAAGAGATGGTCTTTCTACAAACCGACAGCATGAGTATAGGGATATGAAAGATGATTTTAGAAGAAAATGTTCCTCCTCTTCCCATTATTCAAGAGAGCGGTCTCCCCATAAAGGGGATTCTCATTTTTTCAGAAAGTCAAGTGTAGGTCAGAAGAACTCCCCACGTAGCAGATCTGGATCCAGTGGCGGGCACTCCCCAAAACGAAGCAGACGACATTCTTCCCCTTTGTCAGATCTTAGGCAGTCCAGGCATGCTCATGCTTTCTACAGATGGCACAGAGAAGAAAAGCCAGAAGGAGGGCAAAAGAGACCTGGCCAGTCTTTGAAAACATTAAGAGACACACACCCAGCAAGTTCTTCAACAGTTCCTTCATCAGAAGTTTTAAACAAATACAACAAATTCAATGAAAAGGGACTTCCTGAAGCTACCAGCAGTCAGACAGTAGAAAAGCCTAAGGTGGCAGATGAAAGTGACTTACCTAAAATTTCTGAGTTTAAGGTGGGACTCACAGAACAATTACTTACGGATCAGCCACAGGAACCTGAGTCAAACAGAACTGAACGCACAGAATTAGTTGATGACCAGCTAACTAATCGCCTTAAAGCAATAGCATCAAAAACCAAGGAAATTGAACAAGCATACCACCAAGACTGTGAAACCTTCGGGATGGTGGTGAAAATGCTGGTTGACAAAGATCCTTCATTAGAAAAGTCCATTCAGTTTGCACTTAGGCAGAATTTGCATGAAATAAGTGAGCGGTGTGTGAAAGAGCTTAGGCAGTTCATTGCAGAGTATGATGCTTCTTAAGAATTGGTGCTCTAGCAGAAAAGTGCTCCTTGATTGTTAATTAGAGAATTGCATAAGTGTTTCAAATATGGAGTGTTTGTGATGAAAGGAAATACTCCAGTGTCAAGTAAAATCTAAAATGGTCACTTTAAAATAATCTATTCAGAACTCTATTCCACCTATAGAGCCTTCTAATTCATACACACACCAATGTTCAGTGAGTGTCTTAGCCTCTGGGGAGCAGCTTTCTGCTCTTACTCATGTTCTGTAGTCTTCCAAGTACAAGAATGTGTGGCCCAGGTGTACTTTATAGTTAGAGGCTGGACTTTATAGTGAATGATAGTATGTAAAATGTTAGCATTTGAGTTGTGGTTTTTATTGGCTTTTTCTTAGGCTTTGTTTCTTGTATTAAACATATCCTACATTAAAGTTTATTACTTTAATAAACTGGTACTTTGGTATCTTGAGAATACAACCAACTCTCTATAGACCAGGCCAATCTCAAACTCAGAGATCCTCCTGCCTTTGCCTCCCAAGCGCTGGGATTAAAGGCATGTGAAGCTGCCATTATACTAGGCTTTATGTTTTGTTAAAAGCTTTCTGAGTTGTTGAACAACTGCTAGGTATGGTACAGAAATAGGTCCTCAAATAACTGCCACAGAGACAGCAGATGGTAGGCTCAGCCTTTCTCAGCCTGCCCTTGTCTTGCCCAACACAACTGCAAGGCAATCCAAGTTCAGGCAACAAGTCATCATCTAAAGGAGTATGCTACCTTTATCCTACTGACCCCTGACCTTCTCCAGAAAGAGTCATTTCAGAATTGGAAAAATAGAAGGTTTTAAACAGTAACTGGAAATGCTTCTGTCTTATTAATAGAAGAGTCAGTTTTTCTGTCTACAGGAATTCCACTAACATTCTGTTCTGTCTGCCATTTCTGACCTTTGCCTCGTTTAATCTGGGCACATTAATTTTTATTTGGTAGTCATGAGAGATAGGTGGGCACTGAAGTGGTATCCTAGACTAGGCCTCCCTTCTGTTTTGAGTTTGTATGTTCTCTGTTACATGTTCACTCTAATATCTGTTGGCGTTCATGTTCCAGATAGTGTCAGATCTGTTAGGATAAAGAGGGAGGGCTACCTTGGCGGATTCCACGGCAGGCGAGGGTAACTGAGGTGGGGGCAGACATTCGAGGCAGATGGAGCTTAAATGAGGAGTTTTATTAGAAAGGGAAAGGGGGTGGGGGAGGAAAGAGAAAAGAGACACAGAAAGAGGAGAGAAGAGAAGAGGGAGATAGAAAAGTCCTGTCTTCCGCAGAGGAATAGTGAGAGAGCCTAAGTGGATAGGGAGGTCTTTCTTTTAAAGGGGTCCTTTGTACCTGCTTGCAGACTAGTAGTCATGGAACCTTGGGCTGACCAGGGTACTGCCTGCGTGCATTCTGCCAGGTAACAAGGGCAGGTCAATATAATGCCTGAGTGCTTACACTGAGGATAGATTGTTTCAGTTTTCATTTTAACAAGGTAGGGGCAGGCTTAAATGATCTCAATCTGTAGACAAGGCTGGCCTTGAAAGAGGAGCAGTCCTCTTGCCTCAGCCTCCCAGGACTAGTATTGCAGAAGTGAACCACCAAACTCCAGTTTTCAGGGGCCTGTAATATAGCTGGTAAAATTGCTTGGCCAGCAGGCCTGGCAACTTGTGCTCAGCCTCAGAAACCACATAAAGTGGAAAGAAAACAGACTCCACAAAGTTGTTTTCTGACCATGTGCCATAGCGCATCAGGTACAATCAATAGTGATTGTTTTAAAATAAGTCCAGCTTTCAAAGAATTAAAGGGGAATTGGATGAGGCAAGAACAGATGAGCTCCTGATCTGGAGATAAAATGAGAACTCTGCTCATGTCCACAAATAAAGTAAGAAGGGAAGACTGATGGGTGGTTAGAGAGATATCATTAATCCACTGGGTGAGGGAGGATAAGATCACTACCACAATTTTGAGCCAGATTTGAAGAAAGCTTTAGTTAAATACTGGCCCCGATGACAAACTCTGGCCATATCCATTCTGGTGTTCCCAGAGAATGGTGATGAATCACAGTTTGTAAAGGCTTATATGGCAAAAACCCTAAGGCTATGTATTTCCCATCAAAGGTAGGCATATATCAGGTGTATTTCCTGCCCATTCATTTCCTCCTACCTCCATTCAGGCAAGTGTACGTGTATCCTGATGGATTTCCTGCCTGCATGTGATCAAGCACATGTAGGTGCAGTTGAGTCAAACAAACTTGTTAAGAGGGAAAAGCGTGCCTTTTTTATCATAAATAAATAGCCTCCAGCATTTCAGGAAGTATCTGTCCTCAGGCAAGTAAGTTTAGAGCTTAGAGGCATTTTTGTTTTATGGATCTTTTAGGCACAGTAATTAAAACTTAAAACAACTTTGGCTCTCGAAATAATTACCAATTGACTAAGTAGTAGTGGCTTTCCTATATAGGCAACTGACAAAGACAACTGATACTAGCAGAGCCACAGCCCTGAGATGGTAAGTAGCCCTCCAAATAACTAAGTAGGTCAAGATGAATAGACAGATTCATTGATGTCAGGTTCTTCAGTATCAAAGCATCATTGGGGGGATTGTATGTATTCTAGCATCCTCTTTCATTCACAGATTTTCAGATGACTACTTCACTAGGTAACTATGTCTTGAAAATAGGGGAAAAAAATCATGCTGAGACATACCTCAGAGAGGTGGGTCATACCTCTAGTAGCAGCAGCCAGAACTGGTGAGTTCAAGCCTAGCCTGGTTTACAATAAGAGACCCGTCACAAAACAAAACATGTGGCCCAAGTCATCAGGGACTATTGTCTTAAACCCCTGTGGTCCCTGTCTTCAGGTTATCCAAGTGTTTCACACATGATAAACAAAGCCTGTTTCTGTAGCTCCCCACTCTTTAAAAAAGAAGGAAGAAGAAGAAGAAGAAGAAGAAGAAGAAGAAGAAGAAGAAGAAGAAGAAGAAGAAGAAGAAGAAGAAGAAGAAGAAGAAGAAGAAGGAAGAAGCAGCAGCAGCAGCAGCAGCTGGACCTGTGAAAGACCTAGGCTGATAGCAAACCAAGATAGAAAACTTAATAACAGAAGCCCCAAAGTTGACTATTTCAAAGCCAGTTAGCCTAGAGACAACTCCACACATAGCTTTCCACTCTCAAGGCATCACATTCAGGCAGAAGCTGAGAACTTGGGGGCCTGGCTCACCTGCCCTAGACAACCAGTGAGCACCACATCGTGAGAGTAGACCCTGTTGTCCCCTTCACATCTTGTTTTTCAAGACAGGGTTTCTTTATGTAGCTTTGGCTGTCCTAGAACTAGCTCTGTAGACCAGAGAGATCCACCTGCTTCTGCTTCCTGGGTGCTGGGACTAAAGGCCTGCACCACCACTGCTGCCTAACTTTTTTTTTTTTTTTAAAGTAAGTCAGAAATCTAGATTTCTGTGTGAAACCAGGCTTATTTTAATGTTGCCAAATCGACTGTGTGAGACAGAGAATCATGTAGCTCAGGCCTTGAATGTAATGTGTCTTGAGAATGACCTTGAACTACTGGTTCTCTAGCCGTTACCTCCAAATACACTTTGAAAAGCAACTGTGATGTTGGTGGTGCATACCTTTAATCCCAGCATGCAGAGGCAGGTGGATCTATGAATTCTAGGCTAGCCTGGTCTACATAGTGAATTATAGGACAGCCATGCTGCATAAAGAAAAAAAAAAAACTGTCTCAATAAAATAAACAAAATCAGTTGGGGCTGCATACTGAGATCCTGCCTTAGAAAAAGTTTAAGAGCCAGAGAAAGGACATCCTAAGAAAGCCAGCCTGCTGAAGACCACATGTTGGTTCAGCAGGTTGATGGTTATTGACAAAGGCTAGTGTAGGACGGGGAATGGATGCCACTAGGCAATAATGCTTTTGTCATTGTGAAGACCTCCTGGTCCATTCCATTCTAACCAGCTCCCGAAGTAGGAGAATGTAACATGTGAAGAGACTTTTCCTGGTGGATAAACTAATCTTTAATCGTATTTGAGTGATGGTCCCTCCAGAGAACCAACAGAAATCCCAAGCTGCCATGTAGGAAGTGCCCCTTCCATGTACACATTCAGGGTGTGGAATTCAGACCTGGCTTCCAGTTGAGTTGGCATGGCCCAGTTCCTATGTGGACTCCCAGAGTTTTGCTGTACTCTGCACTCCTAGGGAACACCAGCTTGTCTTGAACTGTGGTCGCTGATCAGTAGGCTTTTCCCACACTCAGATGTACATTCCCATTAGTTTTGAATTAACATGTAGTTTGATCTGTGTCCTGTGAACAGGAGGACACGAAGGTGCAGGATTTCCCTGTGCCCCACCTCCCTTTAAGCCTTCAGGGTGAAAAGACAGAGGAGGAGGAGGTAGCCAAGCTGCTTTTTTTTTCTCTTCTCTCCACTCTCCTGAGACAGGGTTTCTCTGTGTAGCCCTGGCTGTCCTGGAACTCACTTTGTAAATCAGGCTGACCTTGAACTCAGAGATCCTTCAGCCTCTGCCTCTCAAGTGCTGGGATTAAAGGCTTGCACCCCCACCCTCGCCAGACTCAAACTGCCTTCTGAGGAGGCTCCGATGAGAAGCAGCTCACAGCTGGCGATTCCTCCTCCCCAGCTGGCCACATTTGCAGAACACAGCTGTAAACAGCCTCAGACAATGGGCTTCTTAAAGAGGCCTTTTATGCATTGCTAGGGCAGCAGGGTGTGTTCAGTAAAGCTATTGCCTCGAAGCTTATGACTAGATTTTATCGATCTTCCTCTAAAAGCACTGCTTTTTTACCCCCATGGAAATAACTCAAGTTCATACTGATAGGAGGAGCAGAACCTGAACTGAGGGATGCATTCTGTTTCTGGTAGTTTCTGGGGTTGGTTGTCTGTGGCAAAGTCTTACTATGTAGCCTAGGTTGTCCTTGAACTTGAAGTTCTCCTGCCTTTCCCTCTGGGTGCTGGATTTACAGATATGTACACTATCCAACTACTTTTAAGATTTTGAATTTAAATTTAAATGAACCTAACAACTTCAAAATAGGCATGGTGGTGCTTAACTGTAACCCTGGCACTGAGGAGGGTGAAGCAGTTGGATGTCTGCCAGTTTGGGGCCTAAGCTACATAGCAAAAAGTCGAAAAAGACAAAATACAAATAGTCAGTGCATACACTGTTGTTTGTTTTCAGACAGGGTTTCTGTTTGTAGCCCTGGCTAGCCTGGAACTCAGTTACCTGGCTGCTCTTGAATGCACAGAATTCTGCTTCTCTTTACCTGTTCTGCATAGCCTATTGGCATGTGCCACTACAACTGGACCCTGAAGCTTCTTATTTGCTAGAAGTTTTACGAGACAGTTACTGAGCCCAGCTTTATGTATTATGACTTATAAAGTATAACTTTAATATCTTGTGATTTCTTTGCTCTCATGAG